AAGACGCTCATATATATATTCTCTGAGGGATTTGGTAAATTTTTGGGAGAGAAAGAGGAATTTTTTTTTTTAGAGAAGAAAATTGAGAGGAAGCAGATTTTTCTTTTTTGTTTAAACGTCGTGTTGGGTTGGGAGAGACGGCCGGGGTGCTGACGTGGACTTAGCGACGCAGCTTCGCTAGTGTGTTGACACGTGTCCACAGCATTACGGATGTTGCTCCGAGTTGCTGAGCAAAGGTAGCTCTGCCACTTGTTTGGCTATGTTGGGATATGCAATTGAGCTAACTAATTAATTGCTAATTTTAATGTGTGTTTTACAATTAAATGATATTGAATTTTTATTAAATGGAATATTAATTTTTAAGTTATGAATGCCAAATTTTTGAGATATGACTATATCAAACTTTAATATATGATGTATAAAACTTTAGTAAATGTAATAAAAGTTTGAAGTTTGTTCTCTTTGAAATCGGCAATTATATAAGAAAAACACAAAAACGAAATATGTGTCAGATAAAAAGATTGATTTACAACATGATTCACAAATACAACCCAAGTTACATAACACAACAAAACCAAATCATACATCTGACACTTTCCAAATCCACACAAATGAATTTCATACCACATAGAAATCTAAAAGACACAAACGCAAATATTTTAAGTGGATCTCTTGAGAGCAAATGCAGAGAGGATGACGAGGATCATCAGAAGAGCCCCCGCAATAAAAGAAGCCACCACGGCGCCGCTCGTTCCTTGGCAAAAGTCACCGAACTGCTGGCAAACCGGAAGCCAGTTCGAGCTTGAATTCCCGTTGTGCGCCAAATAAACTATTGCTGCAGAAGCTGATGCCGCCATCATAGTGAGGCCCATCATCGCCTAGACCAAAACAACCATTTGCTGATTAACATAGTGAGAGATATGACATGTGCAAACAAACATCCATACTCATTGTCATTTGAGACCAAAATAAAAATTTCGTTATTGATCTTGTTACCTATGTATACACACAACCACATCTTTATTTTCTCTATATTTATACATTAACGAGTGTCTAGTATAAGCCTAGAGACAACCTTTAGAGAGTAGGGGTAACTTGAGGTTATATATGTGATTAAAGCCCTTGATTTTATTTTTCAGCGTTAGTGTTTTTCCTAAATGAATCCACAATTTTACAAAAACTTTCATCGCTAATTTTTTTTCTTTTCCTTTTGGTCAACTTTGTTTTTTTCACTGTAAATTGTAAATGCTAAAGAACAAAGAAAATGAGCACTGAGTTTGTGTTTGGCGTTTGTATTTATATTTTATTTTCATTTTGTAAAATGTGAGAAAGTGGCTTTTGTTCTCTCAGCAATCTAGCACATAGAAAATGTTACCGTGTCACATAAGATAAGGAAGAGCCTAGGTGGCACCGCGAGAGGCCGGAGGATACAGACAATGGAAAAAGGCAATGAGAGGGTTAGGTAGCCGCCCACGATTGAGTTTACTACCACAAAAGCTCTGAACAAAAAACAAACAATAAATGATTCCGGAATACTCCATGCTTATATTTAAAACTAAATGCTAGAAAATATTTCGATAGTTGGTTATGAAATTCTTGGTATAATAGTAAGCGTTAACATTTAGACTTTGGAGAGTAACTTACGAAAACGTTGGTAGATCGGTATAGTCAGCCTGGAACTGCAAGAACTGAGTGAAGAAAGGAAGAGTCTCTTCCGTGGTGGCCATCTTTGCTGCAGCAGCCATGGCCGTGATGGCTGCAATGAGTCTAAGAACAAAATCGAAAATCGCTACGCCTCTTTTCCACCCGGCCATGCTCACCTTTTCTTGCTTATGTTTGTCCATGATTCGACTGTAGTTCATAGGAGGAGCAAACACATGAGCTTTGCCTTTGCCTTTGTCCAGCTTTGGCTTTTGAACAATGGGTTCTTCTTCTTCTCTTCTGCTCCCTGCCTTTTCGATATCCATAGGAGATAATTGAGAAATAGAAGAAGGCTAGCTAGAAACTAGGTAGTCCCTTGGAAGTTGAATATGAATAAAGATTCAAAGAAGGAGCTAAATATGATGATACTGATGTTTGATGAATCCTACGTCTTACATTGTAAGATATATATGCATGTATGTAATTGAGTTGTTGAAGTGGATGGAATGGGTTTGGGTGTGAATATTCTTTCTTTTAGGTTTCATGAGAAATTAATTCATAATCGAACATTCAAGATAATTGTTTAGTACGATATAGAAGACGCGCGACTTGCTCCATTTCGACGGATTTAATATCATTAGTTTTAGTTTCCACTTTTCTCTACCTACGTATAAGTGTTTCTAAGTCAGCAACCATGTACCTTTAAGTTATAACCAAACTAGAGCATTATACAATACACAAAGACGTTCTTCTAAAGAATCAATACTTTTTGACCAGTGACTCTGAATGGGGCATATACTATACTCTTTTTTATTTTATTTTTTTGTAGGATTAGGTCACGTTGAATTATTTGCAAACTTTGCTTTAGGTTGCACTTATTAGGTAATGTAGAATACTACTAAATAATTTTGTCTTAATTTTTTTTTTTTCCAACAACATGTAATATCCAAGTTTGATCGGGGCGGTGATCGTAATATAGTGACACAACGACAGAATTCATATAATCACTATTATATCTTGATTTATTCTTTTATTGTGAAGATATTAGATATTGCTAACTCATTTGCAGAAGATGGTAGAGAACTTTAGACTGATCATTACAAGAACCTGTATTACATACTCACTAAGCTGGTTCAAAAAGCTAGGCTCGTGAACCAGACAACTCGGAATTAGTGAGTTTATATGAAAAAAGAAAAAAAAAATCTCCTGCTGGAACTCTTCTCACGAGGCACTCGGTTTGAACATTCAAACTACGTGAACTAGGAAAAATAGAAGAAGACACTCAAGTAATCCACCGAATGTTTCCCCCATTCACAATAATAAGTCCAATGCCAAAAGATTATCTGCTCTTTACCATGATAAATCAGTTTAGAAGTGAGGGGTCAAGCCTTGCTCTGCTTCTTTAAGGTTTGAGGGAACAAAAATCAAATGAGTGTTCTAAGAACTTAAAGTATTTCATTTTGGTTAGAGTATTCAGTTTGAAACAAGAAAACTAAGAGTTTGTACATAAGCACATGAGACTCAATAATTTGAGGTAAAACACAAATATAGCCATATAGGGAGTTAGTATTAAACCCATAATTAAATCAGGATAGGAAATGAGTCGTATTAAACCGAATCTTATATCTTCCAGATGAAACCAAACGGTATAGTAGATTAGGAAATTACAATATGACCAACATACACTATCAATTTCAGCACTTTATCTCTTTTCTCCTTACAAAACAGATATTTAATATTATTGGAATAATTTACACTTAGTATAGCAGTTAGTGCCTTGAAACACCAAGGCAAATAAATTGGTCTTTTCCTTATAGTGACAAGTAAACTAGATGATAAGAATAAGTAACAAAACAAATCAGGATATTAAACTGCATCGGAGACAACTAAAGTGATACTTGCTCTAGACTTTGTTGGAAGATGAAATCATAAGAAGGCATAGCCATTCAATCGAAATATAGATATGTATATGGTAATACATGTCATAAGCCCAACTTGAATCCATAACCTCAATATATAGTCTTGTTTGAGATGTAACGTAACACTAACTTCCATACAAGTTTGATAATATCTATGCAAATATGGTACTACACTTGTAGTGTTACTGAAACATGCAAATGAAAACGGTCGATATGGGTGTGTCAGAAAAGCGAGCTCATGAATAAAATGGTGGACAACACTCCAATAAATTAACACATTGTTAATGAGTGTGTAAACTTCATTTTACATAGACGAAGCATGCATTCGGAAGCATGTGAACAAGATATATATGATATGAACTGTTACGGGTTTTCTGCAACAATCTGGAATTTGGGTTCCATGATTTCCTCAGTCGGCAGAATAAACCATAAGAGATTATAAATAATAGAACAAATGAGAGTTATTATCTTTCTGTTTTTTTTTGTTTGTGCAAGAAATGAGAGTTATTATCTAACAATTATTTAAGGTTATTTTCTTTATTTATTTTTGCCTTTTTCATCAATGATATTAAGTTGTATACCCTTATTCCAATAGTGATTATTTCTTTCTCTAATTCAATTCACAATATATACTACTAGCTTAAATGTATATATACTTAACAAGTTAATATTATTTTTAACCAAAACGAAAAAATCTTATTCCACTAAAGATTCATCATGAATACCAAATTGCAATAAGATTATATACGATCTCCATGAAAAGAAGGTTAATAGCTGACATTTTTTTTTGTTAAAAAGGTTAAGAGATGACATACACAATACAGCCATTGAATCTACTAATAACGTTAGTTTTGTTTATATATTTCTGCTAAATTCTTAACTTTATTCTTGATTTTGAACAAATGGCGTAAAAACTATAGGGCATTAGATTGAACAATTGATGCCATTAAAAAAACTGTGCCACAAATCACTTGATATGGATAAAAAAAAAAAAAAAAAAAAAATCAACAAAGTGAAACAGAAGGCGTTTCCGTAGCTGAGAGTGAAGTACAAGCAACTGATGATCCAGCTAGCTCCAGACTTCTCAAGACTACAAAACAAAAACTAAAAGCTACCATTAATGGAACTAATTAATATAACAAGACAAATAATTACATAATCAGAACCGGTTTTAAGCAAAATCTCACGACACATGTATGGTATTAGAAAATAGATGTTACACGGGTATGAAAAGGGCCAAATAAATTTAAGGGTCTCTTGACACGAACCATAACCGTTCAAGCCAAAGGCTGAGAGTAAGAGTCTCTGAATCTACCGTAAATTCTGTAGAGAGAAACTTTCACAACAAGTCTTGCTTTTCCGGAAAGCTCTTCTCACAAACTCAAGTATTTAAACTCGACATGAGTATCTCTCTTTAGTTCATAGTAAGCCACTTACAAGATGAGAGTTCCAATAAAAGATTTCTTGATATACTTAGTTCTCATTCTCTCTCTTAGTGGTGCTTCAGTCGCAGCAGATGCAACCGTGAAACAAAACTTCAATAGGTATGAGACTGAAAATTATGGTTACACACCTCCGTCACCAACTTATGGTGCACCACCTAGCTATCCAACACCATCAACACCAGTCCCTCCAATAAAACCACCACCAGTACAAACCCCTCCAACACCAATTTATAGTCCTCCTATCCAGCCACCACCAATTTATAGTCCTCCCATCAAGCCACCACCGGTGCAGGTGCAGCCTCCGAGACCAATATACAGTCCTCCTATTAAGCCACCTCCAGTGCAAAAGCCCCCTACACCAACTTACAGCCCTCCTATAAAGCCACCTCCAGTGCAAAAACCCCCAACACCAACTTACAGTCCTCCTGTAAAGCCACCACCGGTGCATAAGCCTCCAACACCAACTTATAGTCCACCAATTAAACCACCACCGGTGAAGCCTCCAACACCAACCTACAGTCCTCCTGTTAAGCCACCACCAGTACAAAAACCTCCGACACCTACTTATAGTCCACCTGTTAAACCACCACCCGTGAAGCCTCCAACGCCAACTTACAGTCCCCCTGTCAAGCCCCCACCAGTGCAAAAGCCACCGACTTACAGTCCTCCTATAAAGCCACCACCAGTGCAAAAGCCTCCAACACCAACATACAGTCCCCCTGTCAAGCCCCCACCAGTGCAAAAGCCACCGACTTACAGTCCTCCTATAAAGCCACCACCAGTGCAAAAACCTCCAACACCATCATACAGTCCCCCTGTCAAGCCCCCACCAGTGCAAAAGCCACCGACTTACAGTCCCCCTATAAAGCCACCACCGGTGCAGAAACCACCAACTTATAGTCCCCCTGTCAAGCCACCACCGGTGCAAAAACCACCAACCTATAGTCCCCCTGTCAAGCCACCACCGGTGCAGAAACCACCAACTTATAGTCCCCCTGTCAAGCCACCACCGGTGCATAAGCCTCCGACTTACAGTCCTCCTATCAAGCCACCACCGGTGCAAAAGCCTCCGACTTACAGTCCTCCTATCAAGCCACCACCAGTGCAAAAGCCTCCGACACCTACTTACAGTCCTCCTGTAAAGCCACCACCAGTACAAAAGCCTCCAACTTACAGTCCTCCTATCAAGCCACCACCAGTGCAAAAGCCTCCGACACCAACTTACAGTCCTCCTGTAAAGCCACCACCAGTACAAAAGCCTCCGACTTACAGTCCTCCTATCAAGCCACCACCAGTGCAAAAGCCTCCGACACCAACTTATAGTCCTCCTGTAAAGCCACCACCAGTACAAAAACCTCCGACTTACAGTCCTCCTATCAAGCCGCCACCAGTGCAAAAGCCTCCGACACCAACTTACAGTCCTCCTGTAAAGCCACCACCAGTGCAAAAGCCTCCAACACCAACATACAGTCCTCCTGTAAAGCCACCACCAGTGCAAAAGCCACCGACTTACAGTCCTCCTATAAAGTCACCTCCAGTGCAAACACCTCCGATTTACATTCCTCCTATCAAGCCACCACCTGTGCAAAAGCCTCCAACACCAACTTACAGTCCTCCTGTAAAGCCGCCACCAGTGCATAAGCCTCCAACTCCAAGTTATAGCCCTCCTGTAAAGCCTCCACCAGTGAAGAAACCTCCCACACCAACTTACAGCCCTCCTATGAAACCACCACCAGTACAAAAGCCTCCGACTTACAGTCCTCCCATCAAGCCACCACCGGTGCAGAAACCACCAACTTATAGTCCCCCTGTCAAGCCACCACCGGTGTATAAACCTCCAACACCAATCTATAGTCCTCCTATAATGCCGCCACCTGTGGAAAAGCCTCCAACACCAACTTACAGTCCTCCTGTAATGCCACCACCCGTGCAGAAGCCTCCACCAACTTATAGTCCTCCACACGTTGGATACGGTACTCCTCCTCCATATGCATATCTTTCACAACCAACAGAAATAAACAATTAGGGTAACAAGTTGTAATAGATACTTCGTCAAGGATCGCCAAGTAGTCTTTCTAGTACAAGAGAGATGTATGTTACAGTTACATATGATACTGCATATTATGTGGTAAAATAAATAAAGTTTTAATGGTGAAGTCATACTATTCTTATGATTATACGTTGAGTACAATTGAGCTCTTGGTGGATCGTATGCTACACTCTATGTTTTGACATTGAAGTTCTGTTTATGTACACGGTTTTCATATTTCACTTAGATATGTATGTTTTTAAATCTTTGGAAGGAAACTAAACTCTATGGCAATATATCATCAACATCAAGTAAACTATCAGTCTATCACGACATTTTTTTTATTGAAAGTAAATTATGTTGCAGCTCCAGTACGCGACTGCTATGATATATTAATTCTGATGAAAATACCATAATAAAATCATAAACTAGACCCAATCATTCCTTGTTTCTTTCATTGAAGAATGCATGATAACAACTTTTAAGTCATGTTGAGGATGATAACGAAATGGAGACAAACTTAAGATAAACACTGAAATATTTTACAACACTTTGCCAAAAACAGTGATATTTTTTTTTTTAAAGACCCTAAAACAGTGATGTGGATCCGACTTGTCCTGGTAGCAAATTTGACCTAAAAAATGACAAAAAAAAACAAATGATGAGCGAGATAAGCTATTGTGTAGTGTTTCAAAGATTCGCTTAATTCAAAAAACAAATAGACTAGTGCGATAAAAAGAAGCTCATAAAACGAGTTTACGAAATGTAAAACAGAGGTTTCCAAAAAAAAAAAAAAAAAACAGAGGTTTCTAGCTAGTTTCAAGTTTGGTCAGATATAGTCGTTAGGAAACTTGTTTGTTTTTGGCTAGAGGAGGCAAGCTACTGTTTTTTTGGCAACTTAAATACGTTTCTGAGAAGATAACCGAGTAAAAATGTATTAATGTATCATATTAAGTGGATATATTCATTCTCTCAAAACAATATGCAACTCTTTTTTTCTTCTTCTGTATTTAGTTAATCTCTTTGTATTTCTTATCCATCAATTCATTATGATAATTTTATATATATGTACAGCAAGCAAACTAAGAGTGGTACAATTCATTGCTCACGATGAGAGATCAATGAAGGATGGGTGGCAATAGAAGCAAGAGTGTTTATTTTAAGAAAATTATGAAAAAGAGTCACTTTGTACTATAACATAAAGTATTTTACAAATGATTTCATAATAAATTATGCTTCATAAAAGAAAAACATCAACCACCTTCATACACTAAGATGACAAACAAACTTCAGTTCAAGCACGAACTTATAAAGAACAGCTACGATAGTTTACATGTCTTAACACATATATTCTATAAATACATTACATGTAAATAAAGATTAAGTTGGTGCCACTTATGGGATACCGATGATAGGGAGGAAAGGAAGGTAATAACTAGTTGGTGCAAGCCCCCACTCCGGGGGAACAGGCAAATCAACAGTCTTAGACGAACCGAAAGATCCAAGACTTCGTGGGCATGATTTCAAGAAGATCAACTTCGAAGACAGACCATATTTGTCACCGGCTAAGTTTACAATCTTCGACTTAACGTTTTTCGTGGAAGCATAAAGTTGCTTAAAGCTGCCTTGGAGTTCTGCGTCACAGTTCGTTTTGTCCCTCGAAGGAAGTTCCGACCGGAACTCGCCTTTCTTGTCAGTTGAGACGGTGAACCGCGTCTTGGTGTGGCCACAGCTAACACTGATCATGATTCCTGAAAAAATATATAAAGTCTCGTCACAATCGTAGAGTAGAAACTAGAAAGAGTGAGTTTTTTTGCTAAGAATGTAAATTTCATTAGAAAATAAAATGTTTAGGTTTTACTAAATGTGTTAACAAATTGCTAAACTTATTTAAAGTTGGTCCCATGGCAAAAAAAAGTTTTTCAAACATGAATTATTTAGAAAGAGTGTTAATTATATAACATTGTCTAGTCTCAACAGAGTTCCTATTTCATTTTGTGCTATATCTCTCTTAAGAGTGAATTAAGTGGGTAGTTTAAACTGTAAACAAAATTACGTCGTATAGAGTTAACATTATAAAAAACCGAAACTACAAATGTCTAGTCAGGGTTAGTACTGAATTATAACCTGAATAATCGTAATCATTAGGACAGTCGAAGCAAGAGACTTTTCCTTCGACGAGCGAAGCCGAGACCACAAGGCAAGATGAGAGAGCTGTCGTCAAAAGGAACAAAGCTAAGAAACTCAAACGCAAAGCCATTGAAGAAAGCAGAGATCACTTGAGGAAGACAGTAAGAGAAAGATGTGTATATATAAGTAAATAGTGATATTTTTACAATACAGGGGCAATCACAAGTTTCACAATTGCTTCATTACTGAATGGGTCCCTAAAAACGAGCATGGTAGTTGGATTCGCGTTAAATGAATGTGAATGTAAATCTTATCCCCATGACATTTTATATAATACTTTTCCCTATATGGCAATATATATACTTCTCTTTTTCTTAGAAAAATAGAAAAATATACACATTTATATATAGGACAATTAGTCTCCTTGCGTAAAAGAAACTGATTTTTACTAATAACTCATTCAGACTATATATTTTGAGTGATTTTTTATGAATAAAGTAAAAGGAAAATATAACAAAAATAAATTTTATGAGGAAAAAAATGATCTAAAAAAAGTAGATGTATGTTTGGTAAAAAAAACAAAGAGAAATAAGAGTATGCAATATAAGTCAACAACACTTTAATAGGGGCCATAAATTGCTGGGTACGTACTGTTTTCATGCAATTGTTATTTAACCGTCGGTGGCTCACAGTACTACTTCATGATCTAAAACAAAGAGCTTTATTATGAGAAAAATATCTGGTTTCATAATGAGAATTTAAACCAAGTGTTACAGAGGCTAAACCATGACATAGTAGCTTCGGTATTTAATGTTGAGAGTCTACCAAATAAATGCAGAGAGCAGATGTAGTGGGATAAAATTCAAAGGCACAACAATTTTTGTCTTAACTGTAAGTAGGACCGACCGGTCCTCAACCTGTAAAATATTGTATCAACAAATAAAAATATAAAATCATGATTGTCTTATGCAGTTGTTAATTAAACAATTGGATTTGACTCGTATACTAATCTTTCCAGGAACAATTGTTCGAGTTCCAGCTGGTGTTGGAGTTATTCTGACCAAATTGTTTCAGATTTTGGTCAAGCAACTTGATAGTGAGTTTACCATATATCGTAGGACTGTGATAATTAGTGCGACATATACTTACGAAAATTTAACATATACAATTGTAGTATATAAAACTAGTAAATTAGAATTAGTGTGAGATCTTGTAATTAGGTTAACATGTTATCACTAATTTTTCCTCTAAATTTTATGTCTTCTCTTTTTTCTTTTGTTTCAATCATTATTAAACTGAAATTACAATTTTAGGCCATGGATTGTAAAGTTCGTCAGGGGTCTTACTAGTCCCAAGTACGTTTTCATAGTCCACAAATTTCACACAAGCATGTTTCATGTATGAGTGAAAGTGTCCATCCATTGCTTGAAAGATTTTACTTTATTCGAGAAAGGGAAACTTTACTGTAATTTTACTGTTTTATTCGAGATACCTCAATACAATGTACATGGAACTCTTTATATAAAGAGTGAATACAAGGTTCTAGACTAACGCTAACAATCTGGAGCCTTATCTTGACCAGCACAGCTGTCACTAGCTTGATTATCTTCTCCGTTAGATAAAAATTCAAATCTGTTAAAGCAAAGCATCTTTTCTTCTTTAGCTCCAACGTCAATACTCTGTTTTGTCGCCTTCTTCCTTTCTCGACTGGGCTTTCTTGGACTTACAAAATCTTGGGTCTCAGTATCTTGAGCTGGACTAGAGATCACACTCACATTCCCCCTCAAACTTAGTGTAGGTGGTCCAGCTACACCAAGTTTGCCACGCAAATCGAAGAACTCCTTCTTTGGCAGAGACTTGGTAAAGATGTCTGCAAGTTGATATGCTGCAGAGACGTGTTGTGTTTCAATTAAACCCAGCGCCACTTGCTCCCTCACATAATGATAGTCTGTATCGAAGTGCTTAGACCGATTGTATAGCGCTGGATTAGTGCTCAAGTAAACTGCAGAGAGATTATCACACTTCAAAACCGTTGCCTGCCTTTGCTCAATACCCAAATCTCGCAAGAGAAACGAGAGCCACGTAATCTCTTGGGCTGAGGCTGTCAAGGCTCTGTATTCAGCTTCAGTTGAAGACTTAGACACAGTTTGCTGTCGTTTGGCAGACCACGAAATGAGATTGGACCCCAACATTGTACAGAAACCCGATGTGGATCGTCTTGTCTCTTTACATCCTGCATAATCACTGTCACAATACGCGTGTAGGACCAGCTCTCTGTCTTTCTTGATATGCAACCCCAAGTTTATAGTGCCCTTGATGTAACGTAGGATGCGTTTGAGTAGCTTGAAGTCGGAGACTGTTGGTAGGTGCATCCGCTGACAAATGAAGTTCACCGCAAACTGTATATCCGGACGAGTTATTGTGAGATATTGCAGTTTGCCGGCTAAGCTTCTGAAGTAGGTCGGTTCTTCAAACGGTTCTGAGTTCAGTTCGTCTAACTGCAGAGGTAGAGGGGTTGGCATCGGGCTACAGTCAGACATAGAAGCTTTATGCAATATGTCTTTGGCATAAGCTTGCTGATGTAGAAACAGTCCACCTTCATAGGACTCAATCTCCACTCCCAAGAAATATTGTGGTTTACCAAGATCCTTCATCGAGAATCTCTTGTTGAGGCAGTCTAGAAGATCTTGAAGTAGGGCTGAATCACTTCCTGTGAGTAACATATCATCGACGTAGAGGAGAAGCGCCATAGTTTTACCATTTTTGTGATAGTTAAACAGAGAGGTCTGACTTGCTGCATGTGAAGCCATAGTCAATTATGTAGTTGCTGAAAGTATCAAACCATGCTCTTGGAGCTTGCTTGAGCCCATACAACGCCTTTGTGAGCTTGCACACATGATTTGGTTTCTGTGGATCTTCAAACCCTTTTGGTTGATACATGTACACTGGTTCCTTTAGCTCACCGTGTAAGAACGCATTTGAGACATCTAGTTGCTTGATAGGCTAGTCCTTAGCTGTGGCAACATCCAGAATCATTCTTATTGTGGCTGTGCGCACAACTGGACTGAAGGTCTCCAAGTAATCTAGACCCTCCTCCTGATCGAAACCCTTTGCCACTAACCATGCTTTCAGCTTGTTTAGATCACCACTCGGCTTGAGTTTGACAGTATACACCCATTTGTTGCTTAGTACATTCATATCCTCTTCGTAAGGTACTAAGCTCCATGTGTTGAGCATATGAATGCGGCCCATCTCATCCATCACCGCTAAGTTCCATCCAGGATGTTTCATTGCTGCTTCAATAGACATAGGCACCTCTGGAATGAATTTTGACGCAACCAGAGAACGAGTATTTGGTTTATGAATACCAGATTTTGCCCTTGTTGTCATAGGATGAGTATTCTCAGCCTGAACCACAGCGACATCTTCAGTTTCAGAGCCAGAATTTCCATTATTCTCAAGCATATGCTGATCATTCTCTGCAACATTTGGCATTGTCTGAGTTGGAGCTGTTGGAACCGGTAATGCTCGCGAGACTTGAACCTCCTCTTTCTGATTCGGGGGAGGCGTTGCAGTCGATTGTTGCCAAGCGTTGAGAAGCTTATTATGATAGCGAGGCACAAGAGATTCATATCGTGTCTTGAACGGGAAGCACTCTTCATCAAACACGACATGTCTACAAATATGGACTTTGCCTGTAGGAGAGTATAAGCACCTGTAGCCTTTATGTTGAGCACTATACCCTATGAAAACGCACTGCAGCGACCGAGGTTCCAACTTATGATCAGCCACTGGCCGTAAATACGGATAGCAAGCAGAGCCAAACACTCGTAGCATCGAATAGTTTGGTTTTTCTTTGAACAAAACTTCAAAGGGACTGCAGTCATCTAACACCGGCATTGGAAGCAGATTAAGATGAAGTTGGCACAGAAGAAAGCTTCAACCCAGTAAGACAGAGGAGTGTTACTATGGAAGAGCATTGATAGACCCAATTCAACGACATGGCGATGTTTCCTCTCTGCTAACCCATTCTGCTGAGGTGTATAAGGGTATGACACTAAATGTTTGATACCACACTCAACCAAATGTTGTTGTAATCGTTTGTTTATAAATTCACCTCCTCCATCACTTTGGAAAACTTTAATTTTAGACCCAAATTGCGTTTCCACCAATTTTTGAAACGCAACAAACACCGAGTAAAACTCAGACTTGGCTCGCAGTGGATAAAACCAAGAGAAACGAGAGAAGTCATCAATAAAGACAGCGTAATATTTGAATTCCAAAGTGGATACAACCGGAGAAGGTCCCCATAGATCACAGTGGATACGATCTAATGGAGCTAACACTCTAGACGAAGAAGATAAAAACTGTAATCTACTACTTTTCCCCATCTGGCAAGGCTCACAAATGAGGATGGTTCTGCTCTTATTCAAAACGATTTCCTTGCTGGTTTGAAGGCGTTGGAGGACTTTGAAGTTTGAGTGTCCTAAGCGATGGTGCCAAGTGTCTTCAGATGCTGAACACTGCCGGTTTGAGTAGAGAGCTGCAAACTTCTGATCCTCCAACGTGTAGAGTCCCTTAACCCGAGGACCTCTTGCTACCACCTTCTGAGTATTTATATCAACAACATAGATCTTATGAGAATCAAACCACACACCGCAGGGTAAGTCATCACATAACTTGGACATAGAGAGCAGAGATTTATGTATTTCTGGACATACTAATACATCATTCAGTGAGAGAGTACCTGTAGCTGATGTGATGTTGGCAGAGCCAACGTGAGTAATCGGGAGATAGGTTCCATCAGCCACAAGAATCATATCATTACCTTCATACAGTGTGGATGTTTGGAGATTCTCGGTAGATGATGTCACATGAGCAGACGCACCGGAATCAGGATACCATTCCTTTCCCGTGGTGTCAGAAACCTGAAGTGCAGAGAACGCCTGAGGAGTGTCTTGGGCCTGATAGTTGTTGTCAAATCGGTTGTAGCACTTGATCGCAGTGTGACCAACTCTACCACAGATCTGACAGACAGGGCGCTCTCCGGTTCCGGTAGACTGAGACTGGTGTTGTGGAAATCCACGACCACGAGATGAGAAACCACCACGTCCTCTGTTCGGACCAAAACCTCTTCCACCTCTCTGACCAGAGTTGAAAGTCTGAGATCCGGACTTGTAGCTCTTATTGTAATCTGTCTGCTCTTTATTGAAGGCAAGATGAGTGTTTGCGGCTTCATCGGCTTCATATGCTTGGAGCTTCAAGTCATAAGCTTGAATCTCGGTGACAACATCGTTGAACGAAGGTGGATGAGGCTTCGAGAGATCCCGCTGGATGCCAGAAGAGACAGAATCATACTCTTTGCCTAACCCATTCAAGAACCCAAAAATCTTCATTTCTTCATCGACTGGTTTACCAATAGATGCGAGAGCATCACAGATGTTCTTCAGTTCTCGGCAATAAGCAGTCAAGGTCTTGCCTTTCTTGGTCAGAAACCGCAGCTGGCGTTTGAGAGCAAACTGATGCGCCAAGGAACTCTGATTGAAGTGTTCAGCCAGAGACAACCAGATCTCTCGGGACGTAGAGAGATTATGAACCACACCAAGGACCTCTTCGGACAGAGTACCAAATAGCCACGACCGGACAAGTTGGTCCGTACAGAACCAAGCATCAAACAACGGGTTTGGCTCGACAGTGGGGACACCACCAACAACAACGGTTTGAGTCGACGGAGGAGCAGCGATTGTGCTATTGACGGAGCCGACAAGCTTCTGGCTAGAGAGCAACGATTCAAACTGCGTTTTCCAGAGCAAGTAGTTAGAATCGGACAACTTGAGCGTGACGGAGCTCAAGACATGGACATTGCTCGGAAAAGGATACGGGGACAAAGGATCTGCCATCGTTCGCCTGTTAGAGCTTGGATGGCTCTGATACCATGAAAGAAATTTGAAACAAATGGAAACTTTACTGTAATTTTACTGTTTTATTCGAGATACCTCAATACAATGTACATGGAGCTCTTTATATAGAGAGTGAATACAAGGTTCTAGACTAACGCTAACAATCTGGAGCCTTATCTTGACCAGCACAGCTGTCACTAGCTTGATTATCTTCTCCGTTAGATAAGGATTCAAATCTGTTAAAGCAAAGCATCTTTTCTTCTTTAGCTCCAACGTCTATACTCTGTTTTGTCGCCTTCTTCCTTTCTCGATTGGGCTTTCTTGGACTTACAAACTTTTGGGCCTCAGTATCTTGAGCTGGACTAGAGATCACACTCACAATTATCTTGATAAAATTAATCCCCTCAAGCCTCAACACAGTGACTTAATTGGCGTTAATCCAGGAACAATTAACATTACAGTTAAGCACTCCCCACCTCCACCTTTTCCACCATCGTAGTTTTGTAAATCTGCACCAAATGTGACTTGAACTATGTTGTAGTTTAGCTAAAGCGCTTGATTGAAACTTCCAAATCTTTAAATTCCAAACCACTATCCGATATATATATATATATAAAAGCTGACTCATCCGGTATATAGAGCGATACATGTCAGTGTAGATGTAAATACGTAAGAAATTGACACGTGGACTAATTGAATTTGTGCACTGATTGAGTATTGAACGTTTAAAATTGAAATTTTAATTTTATCTAGACCGTTAAATAAAATTTTCGAAGTTGCGTAAAACACCATGACCATTTTGATCATGCAAAATTTTGACCAACGTAATTATTTTTGTTTTCATAAATTCGCTTATAGTCTACTTTTTTTTTTTTTTTTTTTTTTTTTTCTAAACTGGATGGAATCTTATACTAGAGGTTACAACAAATCAAATTATAGACGCAAGAAAAAAAAATAGTCAAGTCTCATACTCCTATCCTAAATTAATCAAAGGAAGGAAGCTTCAAGCAAGGACTACAGCCAACCACAGGCTAAAGTTTTAAGACGATTGATAACGTAAACGCGGTTACTTAATAGTTAATACTCATATAAATAGAGTTGTGTCTTGGTAATAAAGCTCTGATCAAGATTTGTGAACACAAAAATGGAATTGAAAACACGTAGCATTGTGCTTCATCTATTTCTATCACTTCTTCTAATTCATACGCAAATCAAAACCGTTGGTTCACTTAACCAACCCTCTCCCTCATCCGATGACCAAAAACGCCATCACTTGACCGTAGGAACGGCGTCGTTTCCGGCGGATTTCATGCGAAGACAGCTTGCGGGTGGAGGAGGTGGAGGTGGAGGAGGCCGAGGCGGTTCTTCAGGTGGTGGAAGCAGCGGTGGCGGAAGTCGCGGAGGTGGAGGAGGAAATTCAAACCGTGGTGGAAACAAGGGTGGAAAAGGCGGAGGTGGTGGAGAAGATGGTGATAGTGGAGGTGGAGGTGGGAATAGTGGAAACACTAGACCATCTCCTACTATACCAGGCGGAGGACGACCAAATACCGTATTTCCCGGCGGCCGATTTCCAAGCGGCGGTGACCGGTTTCAATATTCTTTGGTGTTGTTCATCTTTACGACCTGTTTACTTGTCATGTTGTAGAATAGTAATTAATAGTTTTTGTTTGTTTGACAACATTAGTAATTAATCATTATGTTTGTGTAGTACTAGTAGTTTATAGTGTTTCCTCTCAATTGAATTATTTTGTTAGATACTCCCATGTGCTACTCATAGGGGACCTCTTTTGACGTTGGAGAAATGATATTTTGTTGTTAATTAAGTCACCTTGTTGAAGAATTATCACCAAGTCTCACATCTCAACTCCAATTAATTTTATATTGCCGTACGTCATAAATTACATTTTCATTTTCGTAGATATAACGGATTGCATCATCATATATGTACGTTTACGTAACCATTTTCTTCATTTGAACAAATTTTCGATGGTAAACGCATCCAATCAACAGGACAGCTTGGTTCTGAAAGCGAATCATGTTAACATATAAATGATTTGAAAGAAAAAAAAACAACTAATAATCTTGGACCAGAGACCATAACAAGCTAAATAAGTCTCATCCTCATTATCATTAGGACTCAAACAAAAGACTTGTTCAATGTTTGTGGCCATAGGGGACCATAATGTTTCACAAAACTATTAATCTAAGTATTTTTCATTCCTCAAGTCACATTCCATCGATCAACAACATATACTCAAGCAAGTGGATAGAAAGCAAGCATGGCCAAACCACACATTCCTTGTGGTGCATCAACGACGTCTCTCTTGATCCTCATGTAACCATTTTCTCCCCACGTTTGCCCCCATGAATTCTTCACCACCCAATACTTAGTCCCTTCTACACTCATTCCATAACCAACAATCGTGACCGCGTGATGCAAATCCGTCCCACACTCTCCATCAAATATCCCGCCCGAGTAGTGCCTAAACGCAGCTCCGGTCCCTTCTATCCCCACGGAAACAGGTTGTTGAGAAACCGCCTTTAGCAAAGCTTCTTCGTTATTCATCGGAACGGTCTCGTATCCACTGATCGTAGCAGCCGGGAAAGCCAATGATTGTGTGGTCGGATGACAAGTTTGTTGTGATGCTTGGTATGGATAGTTATCCTCTGTGGTGATGCCTTGGTTTCTGATTATGTACTCGAAAGCTTTCGACATTATTCCTCCGACACATCCTTGATTGTAGTCTGTGGCACAGTCTAAGAGTTGTTGCTCTGATAACGTTACAAGCTTGCCTTTAGCAATCTTTGTAATGCCTTCCACGGCAGCCACAGCGGAAAACGCCCAACATCCTCCTGCTCGTTTTAAGAAAAAAATCGTTTATTTTTTAAACATTTTATTATTCAATGTGGATGACAATCTGCTTTTATTCTCATGCAATTTTTTTTTTTTTTTTTTTTTTTTTTTTTTTTTGCTTAGTAAGAAATGTAAAATTATACTCATTGGCTTTCATAAAAAGTGTCGTTTTAAGGTTATAAGTTAGTTGGTTACCGCATGTGCCTTGATACCTAACGGGTGTAACGGCCCCTTCTTGTCTCCAATCCAAGCTCTCGCTGGTATCACTAACATTTTCATATCTAAATGGCACAACTAGTCTTGACTCCAATGTTGAAATTTTGTTTATACCTTCTGGCACAACTAGTCCTGTGTGTGTGGCCCGAAATTCTTCGTCAGTCAGATCAGAGAACTCGTTGACATCCAACATAAACGTTGAGTTCTTATTCATGTTGAAGCGCTGGACAAACTCCAAATTCTTCTTGAAGATGTGAAACCTATTTCTTTTTTCGGGTTCATCGGAGTAAACACGATGAAATCGAGCCATCCATTGCTCATGTTTCTCCACGGCAGAAGTTTCAAAAAGGCCACCACGAGATGTAGCTCCAGAAGTTATGGAACTAATAAAAATTGTTAGAATCAAGAGGATAGTCGAAGCCATTCCTAAAGGGAATATGTATGCAATGTAATGTAGTTATATTTCAAAAACAATATGAATAAGTATACTCTTTAGATACAAATGTTTTAGTTATCTTATTTGGTTTGCCAAGAAGCGTATGAGAATGTAGTCTTTATATAAGAGAATTATGAAGTCAAGTGTATGGGAAGATGTTTGAAATTTCTAACAAAGTAGGTCCCAGTTGCATTGGAATGTGAACTACGATTCTCTCCATATTACGTATGATAGATAAATCGGATCCTATTGCTAGTTTATGTATGCTGATGTGGACCAGTATGGCAATATGGACTGCCATCAACCATTAAATCGCTGTGATTATATTAAGATTAATATTAAGATTAACATAAGAGCATGTCCAGCAGAGAGATCAGGTGGATCTCTTATAATTAAAGAAAAATGAAAAAGAAAGAAAAAGAGGGAAAAAGAAGAGAGAACGTGAGACGTATGTTACTAAAGAGACTGTCTCAGCAAATCTGAGAGACTAAAAAAGAGGTAACAGTCTATGATTGGTTGCCTTTTAATTTATTTTAAGTTTAATTTTTTTTTAAAAATATATTAATTTAAAATGTAACTGAGACTCAATTTAGAGTATTAGGGTTGGATATGCTCTAATGTACGAGTGTTCAAGAATAATTCTTATCCGCGTCTAAAATGTCTAAATACGCTGGTCTCACAAACCTTATATGCCTAAAATGTCTAGATGAATGTATGAGTGTCTAAGAAGATAATTTAATTAATTGTGTTTTTACAATCAAAATAACGGAATTTTATTTATATATATATAAAGATTTTTAGCCTCGAAAGTTTATTTTTCTCCCACCACAAATTTTAGACAATGAATGGAAGGATGGCTCAATCCCACATTGTCAACATAAGAAGGGACAAATTGGACATATTATAAGATTTAGTTGAGATTTTCTGTTTATTCTTTTTTCTTTGGGTCAACGAGGCTTTCTGTTTGGTTAAGTTACTCCATTTTGTATTTTATTATATCATGCACTTGACAATGAGAACAAGCAAACAAAAACAAGATTCGCAATCGCGTCATTATAAAACTGAATGATTTTCATAACCAAATTTTCAGTGAAACTTATTTTAAAAGAATCCCTTCCTCGTTTGCTTTTGTGTTAAAGTCTCTCATCAAGTGTCTCCGGGCAACAACTGCTTTAATCAAGTGGTAGTACTATCTTACAATTACAAGTTGCAATGTTATTTATGCAGCATGGACAAGATTCCTGAAATTTTTCTTTTACTTATGTTCTTTTGATTTGGAGGCTTAATTTCTTTTGAACTTTTTTTTTTTTTTTTCATTTAGTTCATCTTCTGCTATACTAGCGTGCGTCAAATTAGAAGTTTTATGAGTTTTGGTTTTTTGACATTCTGATTTTTCTAACATTCGATTTTGATTATGGATCAGTCTATTTTACTAATAAAAGTTGATGCTGCTTGGACTTAGTCTTTTTTTCAGAGCTTTAAGCACACCAAAAAAGTTGGGCCCTTTTTAGTACATAATTTATTTTACTACTGAGCCTGACTTGGACTGAAAAAGTTGAACAAAGCGGAAGAACAATGGTAAAGTTAGGTGCTTTCCTAAGAGATTCATCTCTCTTTATCTATGTTACACCATCATGATACATGAAAACTGAATAAAGTACTATGATTACCCCGGAGCTAACAATTTTCTTAATGTTTATATTATTCCACAACATAAATTTCGTAACACATATATATCACATTACAAAGGGTCAAATCCCTTTGAACGAAAACATGGTTTCATTAAATTATTGTTTCCTTATTTTATTTGTCAAACACTTGATTCCATTTATTAATTCTTTTCCGAGATATTAGAAGAGGGAATGAAACATCCTTTTTCAAAACTACAACAAAGCTTAAAAACAAGTAACTTAGATAGAACTCCAAAGGAGTTTGACAGGGGATAGGAGCCAAAGCTCTCATAAAATTATTGTTTAGGGTGATATCAATTACTTAAACTACACCCATCTATATATTCGAACAACAAACGGAGTTAACCGAGTGGATAGGTAGGAGCCATGGCCAAACCACACATTCCTTGGGGTGCATCAACGTCTCTCTTGATCCTCATATAACCACCTTCTCCCCATGTTTCCCCCCATGAATTCTTCACCACCCAATACTTAGTCCCTTCTACACTCATTCCATAACCAACAATCGTGACCGCGTGATGCAAATCCGTCCCACACCCCCCGTTGAATATACCGTTCAAGTAGTGCCTAAACGCATCCCCACTCCCTTCTATCCTCACGGAAACAGGCTGTTGACTCACCGCCTTTAGCAATGCGTCCTCGTTATTCGCTGGAACCGCCTCGTATCCGCTGATCGTAGCAGCAGCGAAATAACCTGATTGGGTAGCTGAAGGACAGGATTTTTGTGATGCTTGGTAGGGATAGTTTTGCTCTGTGGTAATGCCTTGGTTTTTGATTATGTACTCATAAGCTTTTGCCGCCAACCCTCCGAGACATCCATTGGTTAGTGTGTTGCAATCTACTAGTTGTTGTTCTGACAACGTTAGAATCTTGCCTGTCTTAATCTTTGTTAAGCCTTCAACGGCCGCTACGGCCGCAAACGCCCAACAAGCTCCTGTTGCATTTTAAACCTCATCAGGACTTTTTTAGCCATCTTGATATATTTCGTAAGTGCATGTTATTTTTTAATTTTTTAATTTTAAAAAACATAATAATGCCGCTGATGAAAATATCATTTTTTTTTTAATAGGATTTACTCTAAGTAAAAAAAGAAGAGTAATAGTAGTTCTTTATAAAAATTTAATGAAGTACCGCATGAGCCTTGGTTTTTAACGGGTGTAACGGCCCCCTCGTTTCTCCAATCCATGCTCTCGGCGGCATCACTATCTCCATATCTAAACGGCACCGATTTGCTTGACTCGAATGTTAAATTTCCGGTCATACCCTCGGGGATAACTAGTCCAGTGTAGGTTGCCCGGAATTCCTCATCAGTGAGATCAGAGAACTCATTGACACCCATCTCGTATGTTCTGTTCTTTTTCATGTTGAAGCTCCGGACAAACTCCAAGTTCTTCTTAAAGATCTCGAACCTACTCCTCTTCTCAGATTCGCTGGAGTAAACACGATGGAATCGAGCCATCCATTGCTCATGTTCCTCCGTGGCCGAGGTTTCAAAGAGATCCCCACGAGATGTGGCTCCTGCACTACTGGAACTCAAAATAATAGTTAGAATCAAGAAAATAGTCGAAACCATTCCGAAAGAGAAAAGATGTGACATGTTTTAGTATAAATGTTTTGGGGTTTATATGACTTGGTTGGTTGCCAATAAACGAGTATGGAAAGGTTGTGTTATATAGAGCCTTGGAAGTTTGAAGTACGTGGTGGCATCGTTTCTGTTTGAATATTCTAACGAGGCGGGACCCAACATGCATGTTTTTTGAGGTCTTCTTTTTGCCAATTCCTACACGGTATAAAGTCAAGTAAACGGCCAATTTTATTACTTGACACCGAAGTCACGTCAATTGCCAATTTATCCCTTGAAAATTACGTTAGAGTTCTTTTTAACCTTTCGATGTTGATCTTAACACTATTAGAGATGATGATAACTTTTTATCGGTCCTTGAAATCATTTTTACTACAGGGCGGATAATAGGCACTAATTGGACAACTATTTTTTTTTGAACAACTTATGATTTATAATAAACTTAGAACCCGGTTACAAACCAAAACCGGAAGCTCGATGCCAAAGAGTCCGAACAAGATGCGAAAAGCAAAGTACAAAGCATGCTAATGATAGATAGAAGGTTAGATTCGTAGAAAATAACCGATATCCCTTTAGAAAGGGCAAGTTCTTCTGTCGTTGAAGACAAGTGAACGATTGGATAACTATACTAGGAAAAAATTGGATTTTGATTCGATGTTCAGTTTCAGGATTTCGAAATGAAAACAATTGTCAATTTTCTTCTCTTTTATATATTAGGATTATAACGTTATATAGTTCTCATAACCTAACAATCGTTATGACTTTTGAGTGGTTGGCGCAATTGGCAAGTATTCGAGAATTCAAATGTGTGCAAACAATTTAATCGGACTGGCTTGGGGCCAGTGATAGATTGATCGATTAGGTGAAATTTGTATTCCAAACATTGTGATATTATCAAAGTAACAGCTATAATATTCAATCAAAACCAACTTATACGTACGTTCGATCGATGTCATGTTACGAGGGAAGAAAGTTCGTACAAAGAATTTATCCAACAAAAAAAAAATTGTTTAAGGTTGCAGCGAGCAATTAAAGAGAGAGGGAGAATGATAAATGGAGAACCATATAATTAATGTGTCGTTTACTTCCAACACTTTCTTTACAACTTCAGAAGATATGATATATCGGTCACACAAATCTTATCAACCGAAAATCGCCAAGAATATTTCTCATGGTATCTTTGGATAGAGCCAAAAATAATAATGTTTGATACTTTCTTTGCCTATTTCTACGCTTAAGTAGTCAAGTCAATTTTACTTTTCTTTATAGTTATATACTGTTACAAAATCTAAGTAACATGGATGCATCGGTATGATTGACACAAAACTATTTAGAATCGTTGCCTCTGCAGAGGCATCTGAGACAAAGTTTATGAGTCGGACTGAATCTTAAAAGACCGTCGCAAAGGGAGAGACTGTGACTATATTTGTTACAGGTTTTAGACTCAAGATAAAGGTGAGCCAAAATGTTATGTGGAAGTTGATACAGTAAGTGACGCACAAGCTGTCTGAATCTGTATGGCACAAGGAGGAGTTGCTACGAAGAACAACATGGATGTATTTCGGTCATAATCATATGTGAAGGGTCAAGCCACTTGTCTAGAAGTGATGATATGGCGTTGGGCTCTTAATGGTATGATCCACAAAGAAGCAAAAGAGCCATGTGGGCTTGAGTGAATAAGAGAAGCCACATGGGTTGCTTCAAAGGCCTAAATGTTCAATGAAACATGAAGTTGTTACACAATAGACGGCCGAAAAGTCAGACACTTTTTCATTCAACATAAAACCTTAAAAATGTAGTATATAACTTTTATATTGATGTATTATATATAAAAAAGAATGTTATTTGGTAATAATGTAGTATATGATTTTCATGTTGATGTATTATATATAAAAAAATTAAAAATGTTGGAAATATATAAAAATGTATTTAAAATTAATCTTCAAGTACTCTCCGATTTATTTCTGACTTTTGAGAAAATCGCTAGAAGAAGATGGAGCGTCCTAGTACCGTCTAACGAGTTTTAGAACACAGGTATATACTAGCGTGCGTCACATTAAAAGTTTCGTGAGTTGTGTTTTTTGGACACTTTGATTTTTTCTCACATTCGATTTTGATTATGGATCAATCTATTTCTCAGAGCCTTAAGCACAAAAAAAACAATCTTTAGTACATAATTTATTTATTTTCCTTAATTGAGTCTATTTGTTTTTAAACGATTATCTGAAAAATGGGATTGGAGTTGGGCCTGACTTGGACTGAAAAAAATGAATCATAGTGGAAGATCAATTGTAAAGTTAGGTGCTCTTCCTATGAGTTTCATCGCTTTTTATCATTGAAAACTGAATAATAGTACTATGATTACTCCGGAGCTAACAATTTTCTTAATGTTTATATATATTACTCCACAACATAAATTTCATAACACATTTCACACTACAAAGGGTCAAATCCTTTGAACGAAAATGTAGTTTCATAAAACTATTGTTTATTTTTTTTGTCAAACACTTGATTCCATTTATTAAACTTCCAAGATACAAGAAGAGGGAATGAAACATCCTCTTTGAAAACTACAACAAAGCATAAGAACAAGTAATTTAGATAGAACTCCAAAGGAGTTTGACAGGGGATAAGAGCCAAAGCTCTCATAAAATTATTGTTTAGGGTGATATCAATTACTTAAACTACACCCATCTATATATTCGAACAATAAACGAAGTTAAGCGAGTGGATAGGTAGCATGCATGGCCAAACCACACATTCCTTGGGGTGCATCAACGTCTCTCTTGATCCTCATATAACCACCTTCTCCCCATGTTTCCCCCCATGAATTCTTCACCACCCAATACTTAGTCCCTTCTTCACTCATTCCATAACCAACAATCGTGACCGCATGATTCAAATACGTTCCACATTCTCCATCGAATATCCCTCCCGAATAGTACTTAAATGCAGCACCAGCCGCTTCTATCCCCACGGAAACAGGCTGTTGAGACACCGCCTTTAGCAAAGCTTCTTCGTTATTCATCGGAACAGTCTCATATCCACTGATCGTAGCAGCTGCGAAATAACCTGATTGGGTAGATTCGAGACAGGTCATTTCTGATGCTTGGTATGGATAGTTTTGCTCTGTGGTAATGCCTTGGTTTTGGGTTATGTAATCGAAAGCGTTTGTGATGTACCCTCCGTGACATCCATTGTTTTCTGTGTTGCAATCTAGTAGTTGTTGTTCCGACAGCGATACAATCTCTCCTGTCTCAATCTTTGTTAATCCCTCAATGGCCGCTACGGCCGCAAACGCCCAACAAGCTCCTGTTGCATTTTAAACGTCATCTTGAGTTTTAAGCTTGTATATTGATATATTTTATTAAGTGCATGTTATTTACATGTTCCGCATATGAACAATATTTAATAAGATTTTCTTTGACCAAAAAAAAAAGATTTTCTTTAAGAAAAAAAGTAGAGTAATAATTATTTCAAAAAACATAATTAGTTACCGCAATAGCCTTGATTTTTAACGGGTGTAACGGCCCCCTCGTTTCTCCAATCCATGCTCTCGGCGGCATCACTATCGCCATATCTAAACGGCACCGCTTTGCTTGACTCCGATGTTAAGTTTCCAGGCATACTCTTGGGAATAAGTAGTCCAGTGTAGGTTGCCCGGAATTCCTCATCGGTGAGATCAGCGAACTCATTGACGGCCATCTGGTATGTTATGTTCTTGTTCATGTTGAAGCTCCGGACAAACTCCAAGTTCTTCTTAAAGATCTCGAACCTACTCTTCTTTTCAGATTCGCTGGAGTAAACACGATTGAATCGTGCCATCCATTGCTCATGTTTCTCCGTGGCCGAAGCATCAAAGAGACCCCCACGAGATGTGGCTCCTGCAATACTGGAACTCAAAATAATAGTTAGAATCAAGAAAATAGTCGAAAGCATTACGGAAGATAAAGTGTGTGACATGTTTTAGTATAAATGTTTTGGGGTTTATATGACTTGGTTGCCAATAAACGAGTATGAGACGGTGGTGTTACATAGAGCCTCTGAAGTTTAAAGTACGTGGTGACATGTTTTCTGTTTGAATATTCTTACCGCGCGAGGTGGGACCCAACATGCATGGTTTTTGAGGTCTTCTGTTTGCCAATCTCTATACGTTAAAAAGTCAAGCAATCGGCCAATTTTATTACTTGACACCGAAGTCAAGTCAAGTCAATTTATCCCTTGTAATTTATTTTACAGTTCTTTTCCACCGTTATTAACACGCCTATTAGAGATGATGATATCTTTTTATCGGTCCATTTCGAAACCAATCTTACTCTAGGGCGGAGAATACGCACTGTTTAATATGAACATAACAACAAATCGAGTTCTAGTATTTTTTGTTAAAAATTTGAGTTCTAGTATTATGTTAAGTTTATGGATTTTCAAATTAAAACCAATTGTAGTGAGTGAATTGACGATTTACATATTACTTTTACAATGTGGAATTATAACGTTATATAGTTTTCATAACCTAACAATAGGTTTGAGTGGTTCGCAATTGACAAGTGTTTTGAGTATTCAAATGTGTGCAAACAATTTACTCGGACTGCATGTTTTGTCATGGGCTTGAGGCCAGTGATAGATTTTCGATTAGGTGAAATTTTCATTTATATTTATCAAAATAACTGATAGAATATTCAATCAAAACCAAGTTATACGTGCGGTCGATGTCCTACAAAAAGAGGAAAGTGTATTTATACAAGGTATTTATTAAAAACAACAAAAAACAAAAACAAAAACAAAAAGTTTGTACAATTAAGGTTGCAATGTTGCAGCAAGAGAAGAGAGAGGGAGAATGAGAACAATATATTTAATGTGTAGTTTACTTCCATTACTTTCTTTATCTTTATAACGTAACATTTATAAAACATCAAAGCATATTGATCACACTCACAAAACTTATCAACCGAAACGGCGAAATCGCCAAGATGAAATATATGAATTCCCTAGAATAATTCACACGGTATTTTTAAATAGAGCCAAAACTAATTAGGTTTGATACGTTCTTTGTCTACTTCTATACGCTAAGTTTGAAAGTCAAATTTACTACGCTTTTTATTTATACAGTTACAAAAACTAAGTAACGTGAGTAGCTCGGTATGATTGACAATTAACGGAAATAAGGCTCCACTTATAACGTAGTCAAGAATTCTGCCCTCAAACTCAATCTCTACCAAGTAGTCAAAATCTTTTACAAGTTTCTTGAGATCAATGCGATCAATAGTATATTTTGATAAGTGAAAAACAAACCAATTCAGTATCACGAAAACGCAAATATTGGTGAGAGTCCAGTGCCCCCTTAGAGAGAGTAACATAATAGAAGAAGACAAAAAATGCAGAGAGAAATAATATACATTCATATGCCTAACTGTAAGTGATAGTTGGATCATGAGTTCATAATTAAGATTTATTCAAAATCAAGTATAATTTCAGTAGACCTAAATCAAAGTATGTACGCAACAATTAAAGCGGTTCACATTTTTGCAATTGCACTTATCTCGTTTCATTCATTTTAGTATTCCATTGTGCAGAGCAAGACAATCATTGGTCACTTTATATGGCTAAGTTATAACACGAAATAAAGTAAGATCAATAAGTCAAGCTTTTAGAGCTTGTGCTGATGATCAAGGACTTAAGCCTACAACATTCTTTCTCCATATCCATATTCCCTCGTCTAGTTATCATCTCCATGTTCTTGTACAAACTCTGTTTCACTAGATTCTTCATCATCTTCTTACCTTCTTCCCCCGATCTTGGACTCATTGGAGATCCCATCCCTGAACTCACCCGACCCATTTGTGGACCCGAATGAGGACCCATCCGTACGTTTCTCTCATCCTTGAACCACTGCAAGAGTTTCACTGCCCTCTTCTGAACCAGAGGGCTTCCAAGTAAGGTCACTTCAAGAAGAACAGGCACAATCCCTGCCTTAGCCATTTTCTCCCGCTGGCTCCAACTCTGATGAGCTAATACCATCAAAATATACGCCGAGTATTCTTGACACTTAGGTTTATCTTCCCATGTCAGAATCTCTATCAAACCCTTGGGCACAGTCAAAGAATCCTCCATTGCCTTTTTACCCATTTGAGTCACTACCAGTTGACCTAGACTCGCTAGTGCCTTCTCGGACAAGTCTTTTACCAACATTAGGCTTAGGAGTGTTTGCACTGCCCTGTTAGAGACCAACGGTCCTGCGTATTCGAACACGAGGCAGAGGTTGTTTATGGTAGCTAAACATATCTCTTTGGTTTTCATTTCCGTTGAATCTGAGTTCATCGTGTCCATCAAAAAGGGTAGAATCTGTGATGAAGCTACTGGTAGTTGTGTGTTTGTTAGAGACGACAATGAAAGGAGAAGCTCTGAAAAGCCATGCCTTGTTGATTGGTCGAGAACTTCAATATTTTTAGGTAGCTTTGAGCATATTCCGGCGTTCACCATCAGCGCCTTGTTCCTGAAGTAAGAGAAAACATAAAAATATGCTCAGATTTCGCGTTTGTGATATGTTTCGGTTGATATGTTCAACGGAGAAGATGCTAGATCATGCATGTGTTAGACAGAAATATAATAATTATATAAACATTGTAAGAATGTTATATCATCATATCTATAATGACAAACATATAGATTAGCCATATAGGTAAGTGGAATATGATCCTCAACTTTTCTGAGATCTTATTAGTCAGAAAAATTAATGGCCATTTGGAGATATACTAATGGCTGTCAAGTAACGTGATTTGTCTCTCGACTCTTCCGGGTTCCGACGCACTCGGAGTTATTATTCTTAATTTTTGTTTTAATAGTAAATTAACATTCATTATTAGACTATAATATGTCACGTAATTGTTTGCCTATTTGCTTCTTATGAAGAAGTGGAAACAAATTGGTATACTGACTAAAAGATATATGGAACTTAGTGGATTGCCACCGAAGCTTTCCAGTCTTCTCTATGTCTATGTTCTTTGCATTTTCCCTAAGATATGTGTATGTATATCTACACACATATTATATACTAATTAAACACGAAAGTCATTTGCAGATAATTTATCAACAAAATATCATTTGTGGAGTTAGGCATGACTTGTAGTGATATGGTACGTAGTACGTACATGTACAATTCTAATTTAATTATCATATCTACAGGTATATGGTGATATTGTGGTTCTGTGAACTTTATGTAACACTCAAATATTTGACCAGATTAAATCAGAGACAGAGAGAAAAAGAAAGCACGTGAGGGTAACGTCGCGCAAACTCCAAGAGCCAACACAAGAGGGTAGGATCCACTATTTTCGTTATAATTATTTATCGCATTATTTTAGTTCATACATCAAAATTGTAACAAAAATGAATATTGGTTGAGAAAAAGAAAATGAACAAAATGAACAATATACCCAGCGATGAAAATTAGGCATAATAGCACCTTTATAGTCAAAGGAATAAATTTCGGTAGAAAATCACTCTATTCGATGATTTTGTCAACCGTTGACTTATAAGTATACTTAAAATCAGTTTCTCAAATTGTAATATTCTAAATCAAAGATAACATAAAGACAGATAATAGACATCTTTTAAATTTCACATGTAGCCAAATACGTAAATCCGATATATAAAGTCACCATTGGATAAAGGTAAAAAGTTGCAAGTTGCTTGAAAAATCAAAGCAAAAAGTCTAATCTAAATGATTGTACTAGCAAGAAGCCAAGAAAAGGACAATTTGACAATTACCAATCACGCAAAAAAAATAATAACATGACGAAATATAGCTAATAACATTCTTCTTGTGTTCTAACAAGTACTCAGGGGCAGGGGCAGATTTAGTAAAGGAATAAGGTGGTCAAGTGACCCCCACTAATTCTTAAATTTGATTGAATGTAAGTATGTATTTGTACTATAAATTGATTATTTGGTTAAGTTTTAGTGATTTGACCCCTATTAATTATGAGTTCCCAACTTTTGACCCCCTTACATATTTTTTCTAACTCCGCCCCTGCAAGTACTTAAAGACAAATACTCATAACATTATATATACACGATGATGATATGATCTACGATTTTTTATTTTCTTTGTTAAAGATGATAGGATCTACGATGGCATGCAATATTTATGGATTTAAAAGTTAATAAAAATAAATAAAAACTAGAAGAACTTACGTGTAGGTTCCATGAGAAAGCTGAATAAGAGCCTTAACAGCAGCTCTTTGATGGCCAGCGACATCAGAAGCAACCATAGAAACAAGAACCTGAAGAACACCAAGCTCAGCCATGAGCTTTCGAGTCTTCTTGTCTTCTCTGGCAAGTTTCTCAATCTCGATGGCAGCTTTCTTCTTCTCTTCCCAGCTTCCAAAGTGAAGCTTCTTCACAGTTCTCTGCATCACAACCTCCTCATTTTCATGATCTTCGGGTGGTTTCGATACTGCTTCCGGAATCGCCGCCACCTTGTCGGAATCTTGTTGTGTTCTTGATTTCTCAGGTGAGGCTTGAAGGTTGCGTTTGCGAGAGGATGCTTTGGATTTCAAAAGAGAACGAATCTTTGTAAAGAAATGGAGCTTCATGTATTGGATTTGCCAAACTGAAGAAGAGGAAGAAGGTTGTGTTCGAAAGGAAGACATGATGATGGATAGATGATGTTATGTTTCTGTTCTTTTTAGTGGACTTTGCTCCGTCATTTATATATTTATCCAACTTTAGGTATGTGCCTAATGCCGGTAAGATTTCAGAAAAGTAATATTAAAAAAGAGAACAAATCTGATGTAAGTTTTGTATTGCATAACTAATAATTTTTTACTATATAATTCATGTGTCCTAAAAGTCCGTCTAGGCCTATAAGCTTCTTTTATTCACTAGATGATCCTAACATCCATCTTATTATAAAACAATGCTTTATATATGCAATATGAATCAAATTTGTAGAGTTGTACAGTCTATAAGGCATGAATATGAATCTGGTGTAAAGGTAACAAAATCACAAACCTGATTTTTCAATCTGCAATAGGTCCTTCTATTTGTCCACTACATGGAAAAATGCATACTCATTTTACTCATTTATTTCTTGTTCAGTTTACGCTTTCAGATCGACTGAGATATATTTAGATAAAATATAAAAAAATTGCATTGCAATAAAAATTTAAGTATCACTTTATTGTCTTAACTTGATCTCCAAAAACACTCCCAACCAACCGTTATGACCGTGATCACAAACAATGCAGTCACAACCTATTTGAAATCTCGAGCACAATAACTAGAAGAAATCGAAATTCATAAGAGAAACCAATTGAGATACTTTTTGTCTAGCATTTTTCATTAATTTTGTGAATAATCATTACAACCCTCTATCATTATATATATATATTTTAGATGCAAAACATTAGATCAGCGTGTGACTCACACATCCATCACTTTAAAATATTGTACATAATTTTAGTTTTCTATGAAAGATTCGACGAAAATGAATTATAATATTGACCTTTCATCGGCTCTCGTAGACATTTGAAAAGAGCCTAGCTACCAGAGATTCGATCCAGAACAAATTAAGGATAGATAATGTGGATTAACAACGAGTTTTGATGAAGATATATCATTAATTAGGATTAAACTAAGTAAGAAGGAATATTATGGAGGAGAAGAAGGGGACAAGAGAGGAGGCAGCATAGTGCACATGCACAAGAAGAGTTTTGTCTCTTCTAAATCTCACCCTCAGGTTACAGCAGAGATCAACACTTTAGCTTCATTGAAACATTAAAACTAATAATCTCTTGTAGTTTCATTAATTAACACGTTCATGCGTGTCAGATCCAGCTTAACCTCGGTACGACCAAAGATAGCAACTCTTCTTGTTTAGAAAACCTCACCAATTATTTATATAGTCTAAGGTTAGGCGAAAAGAAAAATATATCTACCATAGAACTGAATCAGATGACCATAGGCCAGTTTAGAGTTTGCTATGAACTTTAGGTATTCTTCTATGATGTTCTAAGCTTTTGGTAGGTTTTTAAGCTTCCGTCTTTTGGGCTTTCGTCACTATGAACATCTAGTTGTACGCCCGCTTTGTCTTCAGGGGTTGTAACTGTGTAGATGAATTCATTTGTCGAAGTCTTTCAAAATTACTCTTCCAATAATGTTATTTAAGATTTCTAGATGAATTCATTTGTTAAAATGACATCAATAAACTTGATGTTATGATTACAGGGATATTGGATTAGAATATATGTTACAAGTCTACTGTATTAGCCATCTAAAATTGATCCATATTAAAAGTTACAAAAATTGAAGAAATTGTAGCTACTAATGTTGATGATGAAGTTGAAGACAATACTATGAATCTATGATACTTTAGAAAGTACATCTACCGAAAAGTGAAATTTATTATCTGTATATATAAACTCATTAGTTCTGTTTGTTTAGATTATTAGTACACGCAAAGAAGTACCTACACAATAAAACCCTGAAGTTATATATCTAACAAAATAACGAACATAACAATTCAAATACCTAAAGTATGTGCCAATGTCCATGACATTTTTGTCACACCTTATTTTTCATAAGAAAATTGTTGCAATAAACAAAATGAATATTGAAAATATTATTCTTACTATTTGTAGGATCTTCTTCTTGTCATGATATTCCTAAATCTTGTAAGGGGTGAAAGATGTTTAAAGTAAAAATATTTATTGGCTTTCTTTGACATTGTCGAGAACTCGAGATTATAGAGCAAGACTATATGTCCCTTTTCCAGCCCACGTCAAGCTTATCTTCAAGTTTTGGTTTGTTACATGTACCACTACAAGTCTACAACTTGCAGTCTGCAAGAGTTTATAATAGTTATTTGTGAAAACTTACGCTTCATTACTTTAGAAATTAATATTTTGTATTGTGAAATTGTTGTAAGACAAATCTATGTCACATTAAAAAAAAAAAAAAAAAAACATATTAGTCTTATGTAACTGGCGCATTGTAAAATTAGCAAAACAGGTATCGTATTTATTTCATACAACAAATGTTTTATACAATAATCTACTAGCTTCAAGTTGGCTAATGAGCAAGAGATATTGCATGTTAGGGTAACTGAAACAAAGGTTCTTGCACAACAAACATATGATTGTTATGATAACTTATCTTATCTCTTTTTGTTTAATATTATTTTTGGAACTCGATCGCTAAAGCTATTGTAGCTGAATTGGATCATTAGGATTGTTAAATTCAAGTCTCAGCATTTTCGTCTATAAACCTATTTTAAATTATACTGTTATAAGAAATTGATCTAAATCTAATGTTCTGGAAGTGATAAATTATACTTTTGCAGTAATATGCAAAAACACATAAACATGTACCTTATGCCTACTCATAAGCCATAATTTACATATTTCCACCATTATTTTGTTTGTAATAGACTCACACAATTCTTTCATAATATAAAGTTTTAAACAATCATGTTACATCTTCATAAGTCTCGATGTAGAAAACATCTTTTGATACTTGTGATATCAGCAAATAAAGTTAAAATTAAATAGATAGATTACAAATTTCTCAATAGATAAACAATTGTCATTATTAACTCATCTTTGAATTTTCAAATCCTGAAATAAGTTATATGACATAATAAGACAATTCAAATAAGAAAACAAAATAAGTTACAAATCAAACAAAGTTTTTATGATGAAAACTCAAAGAAACATTTTAAGGGTTTTAAAGATAAATATCCTGATATATTTAGTCATAATCTAGTTAAGATTTTGTTAGTACTAATCCATCTGATTTATTCAATATATTTTCTCTTGGAAAAAGCTTCAATCACATTCAACAATATAAGAAAATCATAGGGGAAATTACCAATTTTAGACCACAATTTCATATTTTCTAATTAATTAGATCACAAATTGAATCAAATGCAAAACTAACCTTCATGGGTAGTAAAATTACCCTAGACTCCCTCATGACCAAACAAAAAAACGCATGCCTCGATTACGATTTTAACCTCCGGACCTGGTAGATCTACCGTGGAGATCTACCTAGAAGACAATATTGGAGGTTTACCTAATAATAACATCTTAAATTTTAATTAACAATTCAATAAAAAATATTTGTATACAAAAAATATGTATGAATAATTATAATATAGACATTATTAACTACAAAAATATAAATGCATATAAATGAATCATTTATAGATAAGCAAATAATACAATAAAAATGTGTGAGGTCTACTGAGTAAATCTACTATGTCATTACATTTTAATTTTAATTATAAAATTTGTAAAAAAATATTTTGATGAAATTTTGTTATACATAAATACAATATAAACAACTTGCATCTATATAAAATATAAATTCATAGATTTGAACCAATTAAACTATGAAAAAATAAATAAGGTTAAAAGCCTATAAAATAATGGGAGGTCTACCAAGTAGGTCTACGAAATCATCAAATCTTAAATTTAAATTAAGAAAATATAAAAACATAATTTGAAATAATTTTTTTCACAAATAACGAAATAATAGACATTTAACATCTATTAAAAATAAAATATCATAAAAATGCATGAATCTATAAATATCATGAATATATAGTTCATTAGGATAAGAGTTTGAGTAGATTGTTTAAGGTTTAATGGTGTAAGTTGTAGGGTTTAGAAATTTTCTAGATGAATAATTGTTTTTGATTGGTTTTGCAATTCAATGTTCGTTTATTTGTTATCTAAACTGTAAATTGGCAATATGACAGGCAAATTGTTGCAAAATTATATCTAAATTAGTCAATTTAGGGTTTAGGGTAAAGTAGACTTATTCAGTAGAATAAGTTAGTAGACCGCAATATAGGTCTACTTACCATTTTAACCTAGCGTGAATCCCAAAATTTCAAACCAAAGGGGCGGGAACCGAAATTTTCGTGGTAGACGGTAGTTGTAGACCTTATTAAGAGGCATAACCCAAAATTAATTGAACCAAAATTTTCAATTGAACCGGAAGTTTTTACTTAAACCGGAAAATTTGTCCATGTATAAAATAAAAAAAAACCCTAATTTTGTTAAGAAATGAAAAATATCTTTGCTTTCTCTCTTTCTCTCTTTCTCTCTCGCCGCGCGATTTCTCTCTCGCCGCGCGATCTCTCTCTCGCCGCCTCTCTTTCTCTCTCTCTCGTCGTGAATTGTGGCCACTATCTCCCTCTCGCCATCTTCTTCTTCTTCTTCTTCATCCTTCTCTGATACCAAATCAGATCTGAAGCTTTTCTATCTCGATATGTGATAGATGGAGGTTCTGTTTTCTCAGATCTACTCTGAAATCCTCTAGATCTAAAGTTTTGCTTCTCTCTTCTCTCTTCGCCTTGAACCTCCGCCGCCTCTCCTTCGTCCGTTGCTGATATGGTAAGCCGACAAAATTTCGAAATGAGCCTCCGCCTCCGGTGCTTCCCGTCCGACCTGTCTCCACCTATTCAATGCGTCTCTCACCTTCTCGGGCTTCCTCCATCCTTTACCGTCCAGTCTCTAGCCGCCGTCGTCTGCCTTGGTAAGCCGTTAATCTTATTTCCATAACATACCTAAATCAGATTTAAGCTGCAAGATAACATATTGGTCTATTTTTCTAGATTTGAGCTTTAAAAGTTCAAGGGAAAGGAGGGTCCGAGGCTCGAGCACAGAAGAGATTGAAGCGGACTAGAATTGGTGTGAGAGGTTTCACGAAACGCTTTGTGGTTTCGTGACGGTGAGGATGGTTCCGGCTTTGTCAAGGTCTGTTTCTCTTCTTCCTTTTAGCTGAGATGTAACTTTTTGTGAGTTTTGGTGGCGAATTTGAATATGCAGATGTGAATTTAGCTTGAAATAGGAATGTAGTTGTTTGTTGTGCTTCTGTTTTTAGCTACATGCCTACATGTGCTATTTTGTGATAGTTTTTTTTGTTTCAAAAATGTAGCTCTTGGTCTCTTGGATTTTGCTTATTTCTTGATGTTTCCTGTTATGTGCAGTATATTCATGGTTTAGCTGCTAAAGGAGTTCATTATATTCATCTTCTTGATGGTTACTGTTGATGCTGAACGATTGTGTTTTGTTCCTTGAAATTTAGGTCATTTCCACATTTTTTGTTGGAGATCTCAGTCCAGAAATTACCGATGCAACATTGTTTGATAGCTTCTCTGCCTACAACACTTGCTCGTAAGTTACAGGGCTTTAAGCTTATTACCGATGCAACCGAAACATCCTCTGTCTTGTTTGTCTTATGCTGAGACTGAAAGTTGCATGTTTCTCTGTGATACAGTTTAAGTGTGACAAAATGGATTCATCTGAATTGGGGTGACGATGCAGTCGTGTCTCAGAGGTGTGTAGTAGAGATACACATAAATGTCTTTCTAGTGTATTCATAGTGAACAAGTGAGAAGTATGTTAATCTGTGTTTTTCTTCTTTGTGATTACAGACGGCTGCAATGAATTACCGGATTATGTAAGCTGAAAATTCAATTGGCTTTCGTTTGTGTTTTCTAGCCAAAATAGCAGTACAAATGCTCGAAAGGGTGAAGCTTTGACCATACAGTTTGCACCAAAAGGTTATAAATATAACAGAAGAGGTGTGAAGGAAACAAAAGGAAAGATTAAAAAAATTAACATCTGAGCTTGTAGTTTAGTTTCTTGTTGTGTATGTATGCATGTGTTTTGTAACACTTGTTTTGGTATGATGTAAAACATGTTTTGGGTTTATTAATGAAAAAGTTTGCTTAAATTGGATTTTGTCTTGACTAAAAGCAATCTTACAACGTTCAAATTATTAAGGGAAGATAGGATTTTTGATTAAGCTTCTCTTTATCACCAATTTTTCATCTTTAAAAGAGAAAATAAACACACATAAAGATTTAACTCAAATACTGGTAATGATACCATACCATATAAGTGTCTATAGAGACATAGTAAAAAAACCTTGAAAACAGCACAAAGTAGACCTACTACGTAGACCTACTACGTAGACCTCAGTTGTATATCGCATTCGTAGACCTCATTATCAGTCTACTTCTACGAAATAGACCTCATCTTCAGTCTATCTTTCCAAAGTAATGGATAAGATGATTCCACCAGTTCTGCTTCCATATCCAACATATAGTCAGCTTGTACCATTCTAAGAGGCTCCTCATGTGTACAACCATCCCGTAAGTAGAACATTCTCCCTCCTTTTCCTTTATCCATCTCAAAATGCCATGACTTGTCTTCCATCACCATCCATTTTCCATAAACGGAAGCTAGACAAACCATTACCTGCAACAAAAACAAACCAGACCACAAAATGGATTAGTAGACAGAAGGCGTAGACCGACAAGGTAGACCCACAATTTGGTCTACCAGAAAAATTAAGCTAGATACCTAATTCAAAAGAAAACCGAATATAGCCTTAATTACGCCGAAAGAACATTTCAAACTCACACAGAAGCAAGTAAACAAATAAAAACAACTAATTGTTCGAGAAAATTTCAAAATATTTGATATATTGAAAGGAAAACGACATTTTAAAAAACACATAATAATAGACCTAAAACGTAGACGTTCGGAGTAGACGTTCATGGTAGACCTCCACTTAGGTCTCTCCACGTGGACGGCCACGTGGAGGGTTAGTTTTGCAATTGATCGAGAAAAATGTTTTTTTGGAGGTCTACCTTGTCGGTCTACTACACGTGGAGGGTTAGTTTTGCAATTGACCAAACGTTGACTTTTTCACAAGGTCTACCGTGTACGTCTACCAGAAAACGTAGACCTCTCAATCGGTCTACCAAAAAAAGTAGACCTCTTAATTAGTCTACGCCTTAGGTCTACCTACCGAAAACAGTTTGTTTTGCCGTTGACTCAAGTTTGACTTTCCTCGGGTAGACTTCCGTGGTAGACCTCAGTTTTTTGCGTTGACCAGTAGACCTCACTTGCGGTCTACCGGATGGTAGACCTCAATGACGCAAAATCTCTCCTTTTTGAGGAAAGTCAAACTTGAGTCAACGGCAAAACCAACTTTTTTTTTTAGGTAGACCTAAGAGGTAGACCTCCGAAAAAATTTTTCTCTATCAATTGCAAAACTAACCCTCCACGTGGAGTAGACCGACAAGGTAGACCTAAAAAAAACATTTTTCTCAATCAATTGCAAAACTAACCCTCCACGTGGAGTAGACCTAAGTGTAGGTCTACCACTCATTTTTTTTGTTTGCAAAGGAAATGGCACAGTCAACTCTGCGTTGACCAGTAGACCTAAACTGAGGTCTACTATGTAATGGTAGACCTACACTTCAGTCTACCTTCGCAGACCAAAACTGAAATTCTTAGAATTTTGAAAGAAAAGTTACTGGCCGTCGGAGAAAGGCTCTTCGAGGGCTGATAACTTCAATTTAGGCTTCAATTACGAGTTCCGGTCATCACTGTAAGCTAAACAATTGGAAATGCCAAGACCCAAGATTTGAGTTTTCTTTTAAGTTTTGGGATGAAAATGGAGAGAAAATGGAAGAATAAGAGTTTGTGAGATGAAAGAAGGAGAAATGCTAGCTCCAAAGTGAGTTTTCAGAGCATTAACAGCTCCAAATTGGGTAAAAATGGTGGTTGTCAACATTGATGAAATGGCATTTTGGCAATTAAGTGTAGAAGATGAGGGGTGTTTGGTCTTTCAGCAGATCTGGTAGACCTAAATATCGGTCTACCAATCGAAAAAGTAATGGCATTCCCGTAATTAATTGGAAAAAACTGGACAAACTTAAAATGAAAAAACAAAGGTTACTTTTGCATTTGACCACAATTTTGGGTCTAGAAGTGAAACAACCCCAAAATCATATCGAAACATCATCAATATAAATGAGTTTTTTTTTTTTTTTTTTTTTTTAAATAGTTGCCACTACAACCAACTTACATGAACAAACTAATAAACATAATATGTTAAAGGTTAAATTCTTATCTTTGAAAACCAATGATTTCAAACATAATATTTTAACTTATTATCCTTGAAAACCAATGATTTTAGCATCAGTTAAGAGTTCTAAAATCTGATTCCATTGCGTCGTATATCTTGTGTCAATGTGTTTCATGGATAGAGCGTCCCATATCTCAGGTTCATTGTTTCTGTTTGTGCTTGGCAGAAAACGCAACTGGATTGGGCTCCGGAGTGCCAACCGGATCTACCATCTCCTGTTGCTAACGGTTCAAAGTTGCAAGCCATAACCGATATACCAATGCTTTTCATATCTCCTGTCGCATATATGAACCATAAACCCGTATACCAATGCTTTCCTGCCTCCGCTTGTCCAGTTAGGGCCATGTTTCTTTGGAGCAGAAGTTGTTTTTGAAAATTTCTCCTCTTCCCCAGAGAATTACATCATCCTCATTACTAGTCCCCTGCCTTTAATATCATCATCCTCATTTTCAGGTTTTTTAAAATAAATATCTTCATATATGTTTTGAAGCATATCTTTTTTCTCTTGAAAAAGCTTCAATGACAGTCAACAACATAAAAATCATAGGACAACATCATCAATATTAAAGTGTTTAATATAATTATATATATAGTTGCCCCCACAACCAACTAGATGAACAAACTAATAAACATAATATGTTAAATTATTATCCTTGGAAACCAATGCTTTCAACCATTTTTTCTTTTTTTGGCATCATGCTTTCAACCAATTAAACTCAAATTTCTTATTATTTGCTCCATCATAACTCTGTTTTCTTTTTTTTTCCGAGTATATGTTATTCTAGCAAATCATCAACGACTACTTTTAGAGATAAAAAATACATATTTTTCATGAATATAACTCCAATAAATCTAAATACAGAGCCATATGTTTAGAAACATCAATTTATTTAGCAACCAACATACAAACTACATTATTCTTCTGAAAATAATACACTGATCTTTCAATTCGTTAAACCAAACCTCGAATTTCATTAAACATACGTATGTGGATTTAACTAATTTAATTAGTCCTTGAAAAAATTACGAGTACTTTTTAAAAACCCAAATTGCCACCTTCAACCATTGTTGGGATCGTATCACAAGAACTCTTTCAAGTAGTGATTCCCACGTTCTGTTTCATCCTAACCCATTTTCTTCAACACTTAGTTTACGTGTAGATTAATCTTTAATCATATCTTTAATTATGCAACCTAATTTCGTCGCAGGCCATGACAATCCCATATCATCCTTGTGTTATCACGCATTGACATTTCTGAGTAAAAACATCAATCTCAAGACGAAGAAAGAAGAACAAGATAAAGAAAACTGTGCCTACAATTGTCTGACTGACGTGGCTGAGAAAGAGAGATAGCGCGTGTGAGAAGACGCGGCGGCAAGCCCGAACTTTCGCGGTTCGGCAGCTCCGCGTCGGTGAGTCGAGTCGTCTTGGAGCTATCTCGTTGCTTCTTGAGAGAAAACATGGCGGAGGAACACGATCGGCGACGAGCCATGGATATTGGTCGCCCGACCAATATATGCCACGTGGCTCACGTGACATACGATCGCTTCGATGGTTTTCTTGGTCTTCCTTCTGAATTCGAACCTGACGTACCCAAAAAGGCTCCTAGTGCAAGGTTCGAGTTCTTCTTCCTATTCCATGATGCTAATTAGAATATCGTAACATGAAAATGCGAAATGTGATGTATTCTGTATGAAAGTTTATCACTCAAATAAATCCTAATTTTTAATATGAAAGTGCATAATGAAATGTGATGTATTATGTATATATACTAGTAGCTGACCCGCAGTAGCGCGGGGTTATGTTTTTAATGTTTTTAGTTTTGTTTTGTTTTGGTAATCAACCTGATTAATTAACATAATGAGTAATGTAGCTCATTAACGTTTCGGCTTTGTGAAGAAAATCTAAATTTAAACCCGAACCCGATCCAAAAACCCTAATCAAAATTTTCAAAAGCCAAACCTTTTTAATATGTCTAAACCCGAAAACCAGAAATCCAAAAAATCCCGAAAACCTTGAACCAAATTTTTAAAAAAAAAAAACTCAAAAGTTGTTTAACCGAAACCCGAACCCGACCTAAAAATCCTAATAAAAATTTTAAAACACATAAAAAAAATTATTTGTCTAAACCCGAAATCCCAAAAATCCGGAAAACTCTGAACTAAACCCAAAAAAAACTCAAACCCAAACCAATCATAAATTTTCAAAAACAAACACGAACAGAAAACAGAAATCCACAATTTGATTTAAAATTAGACATATTTCTATTTCACTATTGGAATATTTGAAAATATCACTCGAACCCAAACCGATCAGTAAATTTCAAAAAAACCCGAACAGAAATCCACAATTTGATTTAAATTAGACGTATTTATATTTTACTATTTGAAATTTTTCAAATATCATTCGATCATATTCTATTGATTTGGTATTATTGATAGATTATGTTAATTTTTTTTTTTTTGCAGATTTTTTAAGAGCTGAAAAACGGAAGTTTTCTAAACCGTCGGTTTGTTTTAAGTTATTATTCTTGTATCCAAACAAATTTTTTTCCATTTATTCTTCTATCCAAATAGATTTTTCTTTTATTCTTGTATCCAAACATTAGAATGTACTTCTCAATTAATAATATAAAGATACATGGTCATGAAACTTTGCGATTGTTCCATAACTCATAAAGGTTTGACAAGTGATAACAATGTGATGAAAGGCTTCATGATTTATTGATATGTTTACGGGTTTTTACAGCGCAACAGTGTTTGGAGTTTCAACAGAGTCAATGCAATCATCATACGACTCGAGAGGGAACTGTGTTCCAATCATACTCTCACTATTACAAAGCCGATTATACGATCAAGGAGCCTTGCAAGTGGAAGGCATTTTCAGAATCACAGGAGACAACAGTGAAGAAGAATTTGTAAGAGAACAGCTAAACAAAGGTGCCATACCACAAGGCATCGATGTTCATTGTCTCGCCGGACTTATAAAGGTACTGTATATAGATTTTTAACGACTTTTTTTTAGTATAATTTTTTCTTAACCATTTTAAAAAGCTAATGGACTAGTAATGATTTGATCAGGCTTGGTTTAGAGAATTACCGAGAGGAGTACTCGATTCTCTGCCATCTCAACAAGTTTTGCAGTGTGAGTCAGAGGAGGATTTTGTGAAGGTTGTGAGACTCTTGCCGCAAACGGAAGCTTCTCTTTTAAATTGGGTGATAAATCTGATGGCTGATTTTGTAGAGTTTGAAGATGTTAACAAGATGAGTTCTCGTAATCTTGCTTTAGTCTTTGCACCAAACATGTCACAGGTCAGTTCTTGCACCACCTAATTACACGAAGTATCCTATTTCCGGTCCTATTTATGATCCTTACCCGAAGTAGTAACTTTAGCTGCAAAAATTACCCAAACTGGGTCTGTTTTGGTTTTCTTGTAGATGGCAGATCCTTTAAAAGCGTTGATGTATGCTGTCCAAGTGATGAACTTGCTCAAGAACCTCACAGACAAAACACTCAGAGAGAGGAAAACTGCGTCTTCCCAAGTCGTTCCTTGTGAGAATAGCAATGAAGCTGAAGATGGTGATGTGTATGGATCTAATCAAGAAGAAGGGTATACTTTTGAAGAAGAAGAAGAAGAAGAAGAAGAAGAAGAAGAAGAAGAAGAAGAAGAAGAAGAAGGCGAAAATGTTGAAGAGGAGATCATCGAGGAGGGGATAACCATGATTTCTGATGAACACACATCATCAAGTGAATTGGATGCTAATGATGGAATGAAACATGAACACATGAAGACAGATGTTGGGGTTGGTAAATGTCATTAGTAGTCTTACTGACTTACAGTGTGTTTCGTCTGAAATCATTTTTTGTTTTATTTTTTTGGTAATCTAAAGCTGCAAGTAACTTAGGCTTATTGTTCCAAATTCAATTCATGTGTTTGTGTTAACATAAGAAAAAAACCACATTTTTGAACTATAAATGTAAGCAAACAGGAAAGATTCATGTATAATGTAAGCCAAAATGACAGCCTCAGAAAGATGAAACAGGCAAAGTAAATTTTGAGTTGTGTTATTTATGAAAAGAAAAAATACAAGTGAACCTAATCACCTACTATGGATTCTTTATTGTTGAGTTTACCAACGATTAAGCCGTCTATAGGACTTGGTAGATATTTCCTCAGTGTCTCAAACAGATAAAACAAAGCTTCCAACAGCGTTAGATTCAAAGGTTACCGTCCATTGTAAGAAGCACCTTGTACAATTCTGGACGACGGTCACGGAACACTCCCCAGCTTTGCCTTTTCGACTTGATCTTGTCAAGATCAAACTTTGCCACGAGAACTGCTTCCGATTTATCATCAGCCTCGGCCACAATTTCACCTGTTGCTCCTGTTAAATCACAAAACAATAAAATTGTTGGTCTACATGCTTAATGGACATACTGTGAGAATCGTACAGTATATTTGAATCAAACAAAGTGATACCAGCAATGAAGGAAGTTCCATAGAAAGTGATCTGACTAGGTCCATGCTCAGTTTCAATTGTTTCCTTCCCAATGCGATTTGAAGCTACTAGAGGCACCTGAAAAGTAATCCTTCATTCATTAGCAGTCCATCGCAGAAACAATGGAGCAAACCCAAGACATGTAATTTATGGCTCATGTCACTGTAAAATCGCTTAAGAGTCATAGACTCATAGCAATCGAATAAGACAGTGATGAGTTTGAAAACTGAAGAGTTAGCTTACCACATTAGCTCCAGCATGCCCTTGCATGACTCTCCTCCAATGATCACGCGAATCCAATCCCTGGTCTTGGGGTTCAGAGCCAATGGCAGTAGGATAAAACAATACTTCTGCACCCTGTAGAACCATAGCTCGAGCTGCCTCAGGAAACCACTGATCCCAACATATAGCTGAAACAAGACAATGCAACCAATAATTCAGTAACGATGAAGTCACGAAGAAAAGGAAGAGTTCTGCATAGAGCATCTTACCAACTCCAATTTTTGCAAACTTCGTCTGGAAAACCTATTCACACCAATGGAGAAGATATCAACCATGTGAACCAAATAACATGAAAAATAAGACATATTGGGTCAAAACTTACCTTAAAGCCAGTGTCTCCAGGATTGAAATAAAACTTCTCCTGATAACCTGAAGTTAAGAGAAGATATCATCAGAAAGGTAGGACAAACTCAAGCTATTTCCAAAGTCCAAACTTGACTCACCCGGTCCATCAGGAATATGCGACTTCCTATAAATCCCAAGGTCAGTTCCATCAGCATCAATTATGGCTATCGAGTTGTAATGTGCATTATTTGCCTCCTCGAAGAAGCTAACCGGTATCACTACACCCAGTTCTTTCGCCAGCTTCTGCATCCTGTGTAGTAGTAAACCCATATCAAGTAATTGTCCAACCATTAAAGCACTAGAGCATATGTACAGCATCAAAGTGGCATCAAGATGATCAAGACGAATCGAAGAAGAAATGTCACCTTGCAATGGTAGGATGGTCCTTGTAAGGCTTGGCTCGTTGAAAGAAGTCCTCTCTTTGTGCTTGACAGAAGTAATAGCCCTCAAAAAGTTCCTGTATTGATAATTTATGGATGTAAGAAACACTCCAGGCTAATCACAAGTTGTGGAAACAAATATATATGTAGCTCCCTAATGTCAAAGACTAATCTAGTGACAATAGTCTTTAACCAAACCATATCTGTGAAAATTCTCAAGAGCAACAATCACCTGAATGAGAATGATATTTGCTCCTTTCGCGTGTGCTTCCTTGACCAGCCTGTGCAAAAATGTAAACAACTGCCTTCTCAGATACAGATCGAATTCGAACAAGGAAAACAAAGCAAGCTATATCAGAGCTCGAATCGGCGATACTTAAACTTGAAAGGTCATCGAAGATAGATCGTAATCAAAACAAACGCGATAATTTCCATGAAAACTATTGATTCCAAGCAAAACAAATGAAATTAAAGGTCAAAGACGAACCTCTCAGCGGCGGCGACGTTGGTGGAGATGTCGTCGGAGCAGGCGAATTGCAGAGATGAAACAACCACTTCTCGCCTTCTTCCTTCCATTTCCATGCTCTCTCTGTGTATGTTTCTGTGTTCTCTCTCCGAAGAAATAATGACGCTCCGGTGAAAGATGCGCTGACTCGGTGACTGTCACTAGCAAATGAAGAAAGAAGAAAAGAAGAGAATTCTTCTTTTTCTTTTCCAAATCGAATAAAGGGTCTACAGTCGCAAACGCTAATTTCCGATTCAGATATGCGTTATAAACGCGAGTGATTTGCAATTAAAGTTTACGGCATAAGCTAACGTACGCCGCGGCCGAATTGGCGCACACACTCGCGCTCATCCATTTTTTCTCCGATCTCCACACCAATTTGCTACAAAATCACCGTTGAGAAAAAAGTGAAGGATCTGAGAACATGGCGGTTCGAGCAACGGTGTCGCGTTTTCCGATCGATTCAGATGCTCAAGAGGCGTCAGGACTCCCATGGGGACTGACAGTGACGCCATTCGCAGCTAAAGACGAGAACGGGATCGGACCAGCGTGCGGATCCAACGGCCATCTTCTTCCTCGCTGCGAAAACTGCTACGCTTACTTCAACACCTACTGTGAGCTCGATCAATGGGCTTGGAACTGCGCGCTCTGCGGCACACTCAATGGACTTCCTTCCGATGCAATTGCTCGTTACTCTAATCCTCAGTCTATCCCTGAAATGAGTTCTTCCTTCATTGATCTCGAGTTGCCTCGTTCGTTTCTACATCGCCTTTTGTACAGATTCTTATGGTTTTTGTTTGATTCGTCTCTGATTTCTGCTTGATTGTTGTTTTCTAGTGGACGGATCGGAGGAAGAAATGACGCAAGCGCGGCCTGTATATGTTGCGGCGATTGATCTCTCTTGTAAGACTTTCTTTCTTCTCTCTTAGGTTCAAATTAATGGTTCTCTCTTCGTGGCTAGTGTAGATTCGCGTTGGTGAACCTTGCATTGTAATTTTCAAAAGCAATGTGTGTGTCATTTTACTTGTATGTGATTTGGATTGTGATTCTAGCTTGGGGCTGTATGTTTTTTTGGTGTTCTTTTCGAGTTTGTGCTGTGATTTTGCTATGGTAGCTGTAAATTTACTTCGGATTGTTCTGAACAGAGAATTTTGTGATCATTTATTTGGTCTTCATCAAGTTTCTGTTTGAATGGTCTTTGGATTTAATGTGTTTAACTTCGTGAACGTCCAAGTCTCTCATTCTTGTAAATATCAACTTGGTGGCCGCAAGAACAATCCACATGGAATTTCACCTGCTTGATATCAAACTGCTCTATCTTCTTCCGTTTTCCTATGTTTTTGTTTGATCTTACTGTTCCGATCTTCCACTTTTGTGTTGCTTATAATTACTTTTTCTTTGCGTTGTATACAAAATATTTGGTTATCTCATCATCGTTAGTGTGGATTGTAGCTGAATTGTGAGTTAGTGGACTTTGCATTGCCATTTAACTATGAGTGTTGTCCACCATCTTGTTCTAATGTTGCTCGTAACTACTTTTCAACCTGCAGCTTCTGAGGAATTTTTGGAGCTTACAAAAAGTGCATTGCTAGCTGCTCTGGAAGGTCATGTCATACAAAATTTAAAGCAGCGATTTAAATATTTCTTCAGTGTGACTCTGTGACTGCGTTCTGAGGGTGAATTTTTCTGTTTTGCAGCTCTAAGTCCAGGGTCACTTTTTGGGCTTGCTACATTCAGCCACAAAATAGGACTGTATGATGTTCAAGGCCCTATACCAGTTGTAAAGAATGTATTTATTCCCCCTGATGCAGAGAGCAGCTTACCTCTAGAGCTTGAGGATGCCATGCCCTTGTTACAGTTTCTGGCTCCGGTATTGTCATTTTTAACACCTCCTTTCTTGTTTCCTGCTTCCTTGGTAATTCATAGTGATTGTTAGATCACATGTAGACAGACTAAGTTCCCTTTCTTTACTTCCTGCAGGTAGAAACTTGCAAGGATCGTATTGCTGCTGCTCTTGAGACACTAAGACCGATAACTTCTTGGGGGAGATCATCTGGAGCAGCTCAAGGGATGGATGGTGTGTTGATGGGTGGTAGAGGCTTTGGTACAGCAATGGAAGCTCTCTTCAACTACTTAGGATCTGAATTTGGGAGTACATTTGCGTTAGGTATGTGAAAATATATAGCATGCCTACACCAATTATGTTTCAACATAGTCTAGTTTTCTCCTCACCAAGTACGTTTCATAGTGGGGAGTGTTTTATTGACTCGATATAAGTGCAGCTAGGGTGTTTGCTTTCCTGTCTGGTCCTCCTGATTATGGACGTGGACAACTGGATACGAGTAGGTATGGTGAACAATATGCAAGTAAACGCGTAGATGCTGATCGTGCTCTGCTTCCTGAGCAAACACCATTCTACAAAGACATAGTAAGTCTTATTTCAATTTTTTTTTTTTTTATCTCCTAGATAGTTATATTTTCAGCGTAGATCTGACGGCTATTTTATAGGCAGCCATTGCTGTCCAGTCAGGTGTATGTGTAGACGTATTTGCAGTTACAAACGAGTACACAGATTTAGCATCCTTGAAGTTCCTTAGCATCGAAAGTGGTGGCTCGCTGTTTTTGTATTCAAGCACTGATGATTCGACTCTTCCCCAAGACATGTTAGTTCTGTTGCTAACCCAGCATAATTTTTTCCCACATTAATAGCAAGAACGCATGCTGTTGTTTTCTTCACTCGTTACCAAATTTTTTGAAACAGAATTGTATGATGTTGTTTTCCAGGTTTCGGATGCTTAATCGGCCGTATGCTTTCAATTGCGTCTTGAGATTGAGGACGTCAACTGAATTTAAACCTGGAAACTCTGTATGTGGTTTTAGTGAGAAACGAAAGTTCAGATGATGTTCTTTTTTTCTGTTTTTTGCTTCATCTAACATTTTAGCCTTACTTGCAGTTTGGTCACTTCTTTCCTGATCCACAGTACGAGAACATTCAGCATATCATCTGCTGTGATTCATATGCAACATATGCTTATGACTTTGAGTTTGCAGATAATACTGGATTTGCCAAGTAAGCCTATCAAGAATTGCTTTTTCCTATTATGTTTTTCATGATTAAGTAGAAGGGATTAAATGGATGCAAATTATTTCCATGCATTTGCAGGGTTTTGTAAAGTGTGTAGTCATTGATTTTTCATTTCTATTTTTTCTCTCGGTATATCTGTAAATAATCATTGACCTGCAACAAGATATTACTGTTTTGTTTTTAGATTATAGAACTTTTTAAGTAAATTGCTGAATCAATGAAGTAAAAACGCTATGCATTTTAGTAGAAGTAGACTTAGCACTCGAATCTGCTAACCTATAATTTCCTCATTACCTTTTGCAGACATTCTGGAGATCAACCTGTGGTGCAAATTGCATTCCAGTACACAGTTGTTGTACCTCCCGAGGGACTGTCAAATTCAGAAATGTCATCGTCAAGTAGGTACGACTAAATCCATAGCAAAAGCTTTTGGTTAATGTTCATTCTAGAGTTTGTACACCACTGGACAACTGGTTAATATGGGGATAAGCTCTTTCATTGTATTTTTTAATCACTGGAGCATTCATAGTGTTTTTTTCTATATCATGTTCTAGTGGATCTAGTAGTGTTTCGTTTCTAAGTTTGATATGTTCTATGTTACACAGAGACAAACACACACTTCAGAGACGCCTAAGGATCAAAACCATGCAATTTGGAACTGCAAAAAACATCAACGAAATTTACGACAGCGTGGATCATGAAGTTGTCCTCTCATTGCTCGTTCACAAGGTAAAAGTCATTTCATATTATTAATCTCTTATTCAAACTTCTAAATTATGTCATGTATGGTTTCGTAAATTATATTTTCCTGCAGGTAATTGTAGCTTCTCTAGAGAATGGAGTCCGAGAAGGGCGTGCATTGCTTGACGACTGGCTAGTAATCCTAACAGCGCAATACAACGACGCCTTTCAGCTCGTTCCCTACAAAAACGGAAACAAGTCGATAAGCTCTCAGATCGACATCACGTTTTCGCAATGTCCTCAGCTCGAGCCTTTACCTCGTTTAGTCTTCGCTTTACTCCGTAATCCCCTTCTCCGGTTTCACGAAGAAGGTGTCCATCCTGATTACAGAATCTACTTGCAATGCCTTTTCAGGTAAAACCACCACCCCCAAATAAACCAATCAATAACCGAACAACTGTCTCAAACGTCAAGTCTCGAAATTTGCAGTGTGTTGGAGCCGAGCTCTCTTCATTGCGGGATATACCCAACGCTTATGTCATATTCAACACCTGATCAAGTGGCGTATCCGCGTCATTCACTGAGCCGCGCTGCGTTGATGACAAGTGGCAGTCCGATATTTTTCCTAGACGCGTATACAACTTTGATCGTCTTCTACTCATCAACCGCAGACCCGTCGATTCCTTTCCCTCCACCTCAAGAATGTAAGTTTTTTCTCTCTTGAAAGTAAAATCCAATTCATAGGTTATGTTTATTTGACACAGTTTTGTTTTTATCTTACAGGTTTGTTGAGGAAGACCATAAATCAAGTGAAGCAAGAAAGGAGCATCACACCGAAACTGATGTTTATCCGAGGAGGACATGACGATGCTACCGCTTTTGAGAACTATCTGATAGAAGAACAAGACGTGGACGGTAGCGGTTTTGCTAGCGCCATGGGGTTTGTGTCTTTCCTCGACGATATTTCGCAGAGTGTCGCTGAATACATGAATACATGAAGTAAAAAGAGCAACGAAAAAATGACCCTCCTTTAGTGTTTTTATACATCAAAAACTGAGGAAATTTTCAAATGTGACAAAACGTTTTCTTAGCTAAGAGTTTTTTTTCTGCTCTTTCTTGTTGTAACATTGGCTTAGACTTAGCATCCCAACTTTTTTGGCTTTCTAAATCAAAATTCAAAATTAATAATTAGGCAAGAATTTGTTCTTCTCACCAATGTGTTATGAGATTTGGTACTCTGTTTTTGGCCATCTTGTACAAAACTAGATTTTCTAACCTCTCAGTTCTCACTTACATACTTGCTCTAAGATAATTATTATTGGTTCTCCGGGTCGAAGAGAATCTCAGCTGGTTTTGGGTTTGGGTTTTCGGTTTTTGTTCTGCTTGTTATGGGTTTGGTTTAGTAACACAGATATTTATGTGAGTAACGTCAATTAAAAACATCATACCGGAGATCACAAATGTTTTGGTTCGGTTCGGTTTGGTAAAGCATAGGGTTTATAAATATTTATCCGCTCATTTTAGAACGACGTCGACGATCTAAAATTTTCACTCTGCTTTTCTTTCGCCGCCGTCGTCTCCGATTCACAAAGGCACTTCTCAATTGTACAATCCGGTATGCTCACCGGTGATCTCATGAGTACATATCATGTTAGCTGATAAATTCGGATCCCTTGTTTATTTAGCTTACATGAACATTTTTAAGATTTCTGTATCGATCATTTGGGGTTTATAGAGACTTTAGAGGCTAGAGTTAGGGTTTACTGTACAGCTATTAACTCTGCTATGCCGAATATTCCTGAGAGAGAGTAAAGCTTATTTCTGATTCAATCATCTTCTACTTCCGTTTGATACAATATCTCTTTCTCGCATTATAGCACCCAATGTTAGAGTTGCTGATTAGTTTCTGTTTCAAACAAATAAACATTTTTTTGGTGTAATTGAGGTTCCTGAGCAACAAATGATAGAATCTATTGCTTCAAAAAACCTATATTTTTTAATCTGATTTTTGCCGTGTGTGTGTATTTTTTCAGGTAATTTTGAAGCATGTTGGCTCTTTCCAAGGTTTTGCGGAGGTAAGGATCTCTGATTTAGGAGGGAATTTGATTTAATTAGGCTTTGGATTGTCAATCTAAAAATGCTTTGTTTGTCTCTCTGTTGAATGCTATTGGCACTTTTGGTAATAATCAAGAAACTTCTCTCTCTTTTTTGTTATTTTCCACAGAACACAGAGACTCCAATTTGGAGCTTGTTCTGCTGTTTATTCACAACTGGAAGGAAGAAGCTTCTTCACTCTTGAATCACCTTCGACTGTATATAATGATAAATGTGAAGCTGCTCCAAGATTCCAAGACATCTCCTCTATGATGATGAGTAAACGTGCACTCTCCTCAAACGCTGGCACTAAAAGTGATCAAGAAGATGACCTCGAAGACGGTTTCTCAGAACTCGAAAATGCAAAGGAGACTAGTAGTAGCAGTAGTGATGATGATAGTGAGGATGATGAGACAAAGCTCTCCGCTGATGAAGAAGAAGAAGAACTAGACCTCATTGAAACCGATGATGGTATTAAAACAGTCCAAAAGAAACCATCAGAGCTATTCAACACCATTGTTTCTGCAGCAGGTCTCTCTATAGGCAGTGCACTTGACAAATACGTTGAAGAAGGAAACGAGATCAACCGATTCGAGGTCTCTAAAGCGATCCTCCAGCTTCGTAAACGTCGTATGTATGGAAGAGCTTTACAGGTAAATAACTTACTTGTTAGTACCTTTAACTTATATATTTGTTATATGTTTACATTCATTTCTTGTTCTGCTTTGTATAGATGTCAGAATGGTTGGAGGCAAATAAGAAAATGGAAATGAAGGATAGAGACTACGCTTCTCGGTTAGACCTCATCGTGAAAACTCGCGGCTTAGAGAAAGGAGAAGCTTACATGGACAAGATCCCTAAGTCTTTCAGAGGAGAAGTCATCTACCGAACCTTCCTAGCGAACTCTGTAGCTGCTTGCAACGTCAAGAAGTCTGAAGTTGTGTTCAACAGAATGAAAGACTTGGGGCTTCCTCTCTCCGGATTCACTTGTGACCAGATGCTTCTCCTCTACAAGAGAGTCGACAAGAAGAAAATCGCTGACGTGTTGCTCCTCATGGAGAAAGAGAACGTCAAGCCGAGCCTCCTCACGTACAAGATCTTGATCGACGTGAAAGGCTCCTCCAACGACATCAACGGGATGGAGCAGATCGTGGAGACGATGAGAGAGGAAGGCGTTGAGCCTGACTTCTACACGCAAGCCATCACTGCTAGGCACTACGTAGGCGCAGGGCTTAAGGAGAAAGCAGAGAAAGTCTTGAAAGAGATGGAAGGTGGAAGCTTGGAGGCGAACAGAGGAGCGTTCAAAGATTTGCTCTCACTCTACGCAACTCTCGGCAGAGAAGACGAAGTCACGAGGATATGGAAGATCTGCGAAGCGAAGCCTCGCTTTGAGGAGTCTCTCGCTGCGATCCACGCGTTCGGGAAGCTCAACAAGGTGAAAGAAGCAGAGGAGATATTCGAGAAGATTGTGAAGATGGACAGAAGACAATCCTCCAACACTTACTCTGTTCTCCTGAGAGTGTACGTTGACCACAAGATGCTCTCAAAGGGGAAAGCTTTGGTGAAGAGAATGGACGAGAACGGTTGCAGGATCGAGGCGACGACATGGGACGCGCTCATCAAGCTTTATGTTGAAGCAGGGGAAGTCGAAAAGGCTGAGTCTTTGTTGAGAGAAGCGTCGAAACAGAGCCATACGAAGCCGATGATGACGTCGTTCATGTATTTGATGGACGAGTACTCGAGACGCGGAGATGTTCATAACGCTGAGAAGATATTTCAGAGGATGAGGGAAGTTGGGTATACGTCAAGGCTTAGGCAGTTTCAGGGGCTCTTGCAGGCTTACTTGAACGCTAAAGCGCCTGCTTATGGGATGAGAGAGCGGATGAAGGCGGATAATATCTTTCCGAATAAGTCTATGGCTGCTCTGCTTTCTCAAGGTGATCCGTTTAAGAAGACTGCTATCTCTGAGATTCTTGATTGAGTAGGAAGACACACCTTTTTCTTCTTCTTCTTCTTTGTCTTCCTTACGTTTAGTTTGAGAGTCTCTGCTTAGTTACTCTGTTTTTAAATGTTTCTTTGGTGAATCTATCCACTTTAGAGACCTTTTAGATTGTTACTTTTAAGTTTTAATGAAAGAATGTTACTTTAGTATTCAAATCCCACAGACAAACTATGAAAAAAACTGGTCTTGATTCTTGAATCAGTTTCACCTTTTTTGTTCATATACTTCCTGAATGCAAAATTGTGATCAAAAGAAACGTTAATAAAACAACCATTTCAGTTTCAAAGTTGGGGATTCAAGGCCCAAGGCCCATTAAGGATTTTGATTACTTGAGCCCATAATTGAATTAAATTAACCTCTCACAGAGTTTTGTGAGCGAACTCAAATTCTCTCTCTCGGCAGTCGGAGAAGAAGAAGTAGAAGAAAGACGGTTGAACAACTGCGTTCTCGCTAATTCCGCAAATGTCGTCGAAGAGGAAGAAGTTCCATCCTGAACCAAGAATTCTTGGTTCTTCTCCCTCTGATCACTGTTTCGATTTTGGTGAATCTGGACTTTTTTTTATTAATTAGGTTTTTTGGGTGTCGAATTATGTGTGGTTTATATAGAGATTTACAATGGTGACTCCGAAACAAGTAAAATTCACTTAGGTGATGGTGATGTCTCTGTCCACATTGTGGAAACTCACTTGTAGTGTATAAGATGAACTAGATGGACCCATACTTACCAAAACATGGATTATAGCTTCTACACATGACTATGAGGACAAACATGAGTGAAACGGTCTCAATCCAAGGGAGGAACATCAAATGGACCAAATTTGGGAACCGGAAGAGGTAAGGAGTCCGAAATGTACCTTTGTGCCTCCACATTGTGGAAACTCACTTGTAGTGTATAAGATGAACTAGATGGACCCATACTTACCAAACATGGATTAATAGTTCTACACATGACTATGAGGAAAACATGAGTGAAACGGTCTCAATCCAAGGGAGGAACATCAAATGGACCAAATTTGGGAACCGGAAGAGGTAAGGAGTCCGAAATGTACCTCTGTGACTCCACATTGTGGAAACTCACTTGTAGTGTATAAGATGAACTAGATGGACCCATACTTACCCAAACATGGATTAATAGGTTCTACACATGACTATGAGGACAAACATGAGTGAAACGGTCTCAATCCAAGGGAGGAACATCAAATGGACCAAATTTGGGAACCGGAAGAGGTAAGGAGTCCGAAATGTACCTCTGTGCCTCCACATTGTGGAAACTCACTTGTAGTGTATAAGATGAACTAGATGGACCCATACTTACCAAACATGGATTAATAGGTTTCTACACATGACTATGAGGACAAACATGAGTGAAACGGTCTCAATCCAAGGGAGGAACATCAAATGGACCAAATTTGGGAACCGGAAGAGGTAAGGAGTCCGAAATGTACCTCTGTGACTCCACATTGTGGAAACTCACTTGTAGTGTATAAGATGAACTAGATGGACCCATACTTACCAAACATGGATTAATAGCTTCTACACATGACTATGAGGACAAACATGAGTGAAACGGTCTCAATCCAAGGGAGGAACATCAAATGGACCAAATTTGGGAACCGGAAGAGGTAAGGAGTCCGAAATGTACCTCTGTGCCTCCACATTGTGGAAACTCACTTGTAGTGTATAAGATGAACTAGATGGACCCATACTTACCAAAACATGGATTAATAGTTCTACACATGACTATGAGGACAAACATGAGTGAAACGGTCTCAATCCAAGGGAGGAACATCAAATGGACCAAATTTGGGAACCGGAAGAGGTAAGGAGTCCGAAATGTACCTCTGTGCCTCCACATTGTGGAAACTCACTTGTAGTGTATAAGATGAACTAGATGGACCCATACTTACCAAACATGGATTAATAGGTTCTACACATGACTATGAGGACAAACATGAGTGAAACGGTCTCAATCCAAGGGAGGAACATCAAATGGACCAAATTTGGGAACCGGAAGAGGTAAGGAGTCCGAAATGTACCTCTGTGCCTCCACATTGTGGAAACTCACTTGTAGTGTATAAGATGAACTAGATGGACCCATACTTACCCAAACATGGATTAATAGGTTCTACACATGACTATGAGGACAAACATGAGTGAAACGGTCTCAATCCAAGGGAGGAACATCAAATGGACCAAATTTGGGAACCGGAAGAGGTAAGGAGTCCGAAATGTACCTCTGTGCCTCCACATTGTGGAAACTCACTTGTAGTGTATAAGATGAACTAGATGGACCCATACTTACCCAAACATGGATTAATAGTTCTACACATGACTATGAGGACAAACATGAGTGAAACGGTCTCAATCCAAGGGAGGAACATCAAATGGACCAAATTTGGGAACCGGAAGAGGTAAGGAGTCCGAAATGTACCTCTGTGACTCCACATTGTGGAAACTCACTTGTAGTGTATAAGATGAACTAGATGGACCCATACTTACCCAAACATGGATTAATAGGTTCTACACATGACTATGAGGACAAACATGAGTGAAACGGTCTCAATCCAAGGGAGGAACATCAAATGGACCAAATTTGGGAACCGGAAGAGGTAAGGAGTCCGAAATGTACCTCTGTGACTCCACATTGTGGAAACTCACTTGTAGTGTATAAGATGAACTAGATGGACCCATACTTACCAAAACATGGATTAATAGCTTCTACACATGACTATGAGGACAAACATGAGTGAAACGGTCTCAATCCAAGGGAGGAACATCAAATGGACCAAATTTGGGAACCGGAAGAGGTAAGGAGTCCGAAATGTACCTCTGTGCCTCCACATTGTGGAAACTCACTTGTAGTGTATAAGATGAACTAGATGGACCCATACTTACCAAACATGGATTAATAGGTTCTACACATGACTATGAGGACAAACATGAGTGAAACGGTCTCAATCCAAGGGAGGAACATCAAATGGACCAAATTTGGGAACCGGAAGAGGTAAGGAGTCCGAAATGTACCTCTGTGACTCCACATTGTGGAAACTCACTTGTAGTGTATAAGATGAACTAGATGGACCCATACTTACCAAACATGGATTAATAGGTTTCTACACATGACTATGAGGACAAACATGAGTGAAACGGTCTCAATCCAAGGGAGGAACATCAAATGGACCAAATTTGGGAACCGGAAGAGGTAAGGAGTCCGAAATGTACCTCTGTGCCTCCACATTGTGGAGACTGAGAAGCTTGACCCAATGCATGCAAGAAGCAGAAGAGCCGAAGAAGAAGAACAACAACAACAGGAAGAAGAAGAGGAAGAGCGAACCAAAACCCACATGCGTTCCAAAAACGATATGGAACGAGGAAGAAGAGCTTATGCTACTAAAGGTTTAATTTTTTTTCCTTTAGTAGAAGCTCTTCTTCCTCGCTGAATATCGGTTTTGGAACCTATGTGGATTTTGGTTCGCTCTTCCTCTTCCTCTCCTTCTTCTTCGGCTCTTCTACTTATGCTACTGCTGTATACATTGGGTCAAGCTTCTCAATCTCCGGCATAAAGACATCACCATCACCCGACCCGACCAAGTGAACTTTACTTGTTTCGTAGTCACCAACTTAAATCTCTGCATAAACCATACACAATTCGCCATCCAAAAACCTTAATTAAAAAAAAAACATATTCACCAAAATCGAAGCAATGATCAGAGAGAGACATCCTAATATCTTCACAACGCTGTGAAGATATTCGAGAAGATGAGGAAGTTTCAAGGACTCTTGCAGGCTTACTTGAACGCTAAAGCGCCTGCTTATGGAATGCGAGAGCGAATGAAGGCTGATAATATATTTCCGAACAAGTCCACGGCTGCTCTGCTTTCTCAAGGTGATCCATTTAAGAAGACTGCTATCTCTGAGATTCTTGATTGAGTAGAGGACACACCTTTTCTTCTTCTTTATGGTCTTCCTGACGTTTTTAGGTTGTTACTTTTATGAAATAATGTTACTTTAGTATTCAATTCCCACAGACAAACTATGAAAAATTGGTCTTGATTAATCAGTTTCACCTTTTTTTAGTTGAATTTTATCAATTTCACATTTTTTTTCATTGAATAAAAAATTGTGATCAAAAGAAACGTTGATAAAACAACCATTTCAGTTTCAAAGTTGGGGATTCAAGGCCCATTAAGGATTTTGATTACTTGAGCCCATAATTGAATAAAATTAACCTTCGCCGAGTTTTGCTAGTGCAAAAAAATCCATTTCTCTCTCTCTCTGTGCAGTTGGAGAAGAAGAAGTAGAAAAAAGACGGAGTTTGAACAACTGCTTTCTCGCTAATTCCGCAAATGTCGTCGAAGAGGAAGAAGAAGACTGCGACGAAGAAACCGCCGCTCAAGAAGAAGAAGAAGAAAGATGAGCCGGCGGCGATAGTGCTCCCGCCGACGACGGAATCGACACCAAATCCTTCGCTTCCGGATGATTTGCTAATAAGCTGCTTCGCACGCGTCTCGATACTGTACTACCCGACTCTCTCACTCGTCTCCAAGAGCTTCCGATCTCTAATTGCTTCACCGGAGCTTTACAAGACCAGATCCTCTATAGGCCACACCGAGATTTCTCTCTACGTGTGCTTAAAGTTCCATCCCGACCCTATCCCTCGCTGGTTCACTCTCTGCCGGAAACCTAATCAAACCATAACCACCAACGACGACGACGCCGCCACGAAATTGAAGAATAAGAGGAAGAAGAAGCCAATCGGTTACGCTTTAGCCAAAATCCAAGCTCCACATTCTGGCTCCTCGTCCTGGTCGCGCTCGACGAGCCTCGTGACAATTGGTTCAGAGATCTACAACATCGGCGGACCAATAGACGACGACGACAACGACCGCTCCTCTAACGTCTCGATCCTCGACTGCCGTTCCAACACGTGGCGCGAGGGTCCAAACATGCTGGTGAAAAGGGCTTACACTGATGCCAATGTCGTTGACGGAAAGATCTACGTAGCAGGAGGCTGCAGTGACGGCTTCTTCAAAGACTGCGACAGCCCTTCCGATTGGATGGAGGTTTTCGATCCGAAAACTCAAGCTTGGGAGATTGTGCCAAGCCAGGGCGCGAAGATATGCGGCTGTAAAGTAGGTAAAAGCGCCGGAGCTGATGGGAAATTGTACATGTTTGGGGACAATGGTTTGTCTTACGAACCAAGAACAGGTAGATGGGAATATCTTTCATTTGATATGGATTATAATTGGGTTTGGTTTTCCTTTTGTGTGGTTGGCGATGTGCTCTACATGTTTGACGAGAACGTGTTCAAATGGTATGACGGTAAGGCGGGGATTTGGAGGGTTGTGAAAGGTATGAAAGGATTGCCTAAGATTCCGATGGTTGTGTTGTGGGAGAGGGTTGTGGCGTATAAGGAGAAGCTGATTCTGTGTGCGGTGATTGCGCTTGAAAGGCTTAGTGATGAAGAGATTTGGGGGAAGGTTGAGTGGTATGATACTGTTCTTACAGTTGACAACAAGTCATGTAGAGTTGAATATGCTCTTGGTGTTACCGTTTGATGAATGTGATGAATCATGATTCTCTTTAGTCGTCATGTGTAATATATTTTTGTTGGATAATTGTGTCTCTGTGTTTTGTGACCTTTTTGAAACACTGTTTTTTGTTTTGTAACATTGGCTTAGAAGGAGCATCTAGTGAACAATTAGGCAATGTTCTTTTTCACCAATATTATTGTGTGATTTTGGGTGCTCTGTTTGTGATCATCTTGTACAAAACCTCATTTTCTAAACTCTGTCACTTACATATGTCTGTTTTCATACTCGAGTCAAAGGAGCAAAACAATTCCATATGAGTCTTTGACATGCCTGACCAAGCCCACATTATAAGTTCAATCGATTAGCATGATAATGAGAACAAAAACTTGAAAAGAATGTTCTTTGCAGAAACATATGAAAGAACCTCGAGTTTCACTCATCTTCTTTATCAGCCTCTCCCTCTTCACCACTTTCGTTATCCTCATCATTACCATTCTCTTCGGTATTGTCATCGTCCTCCTCATCATTCCCGTTCTCTTCCGTATTATCATCTTCGGTATTGGGTACGCTTTAGCTAAAATCCAAGCTTCGCATTCAGGAACTCACCAATCGTCGAGGAGTCTCGTGACAATTGCTTCAGATATCTACAACATCGGCGGACCCATAGACGACGACGACCGCTCGTCTAACGTCTCGATCCTCGACTGCCGGTCCAACACGTGGCGCGAGGGTCCAAAGATGCTGGTGAAACGGAGTTGCACTGCCGCCAATGTCGTTGACGGAAAGATATACGTAACAGGAGGCTGCTTAGACGGCTTCCAAGACTGCAGCCGTCCTTGCGATTGGATGGAAGTTTTCGATCCAAAGACTCAAACTTGGGAGCTTGTGCCAAGCCAGGGCGCGAAGATATGTGGATGTGCGATAAGTAAAAGCGCAGGAGCCGATGGAAAAGTATACGTTTTCGGAAGCTGTAAGGGTTTGGCTTACGAACCGAGTGAAGGTAGATGGGAAAGGTTGGGATGGGATATGGATTATGGTTGGGATTGGTTTTCTTATCGTGTGATTGGCGGTGTGCTCTACATGTTTAACGAGGGAGTGTTCAAATGGTATGAGGGTAAGGCGGGAGTTTGGAGGGTTGTGAAAGGTGTGAAAGGATTGCCTAAGATTCCTCGGTATATTGCTAAATTGGCGGATTATGGTGGGAAGATGGTTGTGTTGTGGGAGAAGGTTGTGGCGTATAAGGAGAAGATGGTTCTGTGTGCGGTGATTGCGCTTGAAAGGCGTGACGATGAAGAGATTTGGGGGAAGGTCGAGTGGTTTGACACTGTGTTTACAGTTCCCAACAAGTCATGTAGTATTGAGTGTGCTCTTGGTGTTACCGTTTGATGAAATGACTGCCATATGAGACCTGACTTGAATGTGATGAACCTATTTTGTTGGATATTGCGTTCTTTGTGACCTTTGAAACACTGTTTTTGTTGTATGGAATGTTTCACTAGTGAAAAAGAACAAGTAGAAGATGCAAAATTGGCTTAGACCAAGCATCCAGTGTATAATTAGGCAAGAATTTGTTCTTTTTCACTAATGTGTTATGAGATTTTGGTGCTTGTGATCATCTTGTATAAACCCTCATTATCTAAACTCTGTCACTTATATATCTGTTTAGCACTAGAGTCAAACGAGCAAACCAATTCTATATGAGTCTATGACATGCTTCATCATCATGCCCACACACATTACAAGCTAATGAGAACAAAAAGATTGAAAAAAACGCTCTTAGCAGAAACATATGAAAAGAACCTCAGTGTTTCACTCGTCTTCTTCATCACCTTCCTCTACCTCTTCACCACTCTCATTATCTTCACCACTTCCACTCCCATTTTCTTCCATGCTATTGTCCTCATTCTCTTCTCCGCTGTGTCCCTGGTTCTCAATCTCCTCATCATTCCCATTCTCTTCGGTATTGTCATCGTCATTCTCGTTCCCATTCTCTTCGGTATTATCATCGTCAATCTCCATCTCCTCATCATTCCCATTCTCTTCTTCTGTGTTGTCAGTCTCATTCTCCTCATCATTTTGAACGTTCTTGCTATTTCCCTCATCTCTTTTGCTTTTCCTCGCACCCATTTGAGACGGTGATCCTTCCTGTTTCCTCTTCTTCGTCTCTACAGGCTTCGAAGCCGCTCCACCACCAGGCTTTGATGCTGTTCCACCACCCGCAGCCGCCGCTTTCTTCCCAGCGTTCTTCTTCTTAAACTCTGCAAAAATCATTCAGAGAAATTAACAACAAAGACAAATATATCAATCAACCTAATCATGTTCTCTAACAGTTAACAACAATTTGGGAGAAATATAATATTCTTCAGAGAAATTAACCTTCAAGAGAAGCTTTAAGCGGCTCCAAAAATTCTGCAAACTCCATTTCTTCTAATGCCTTCAACACATCATCGGCCTTCATCGTTTGTCTCCTTGAATCTTTGCAGATATCATTTGCGCTATCATTCACCACAAACAAAACAAATTGAAGCATTAATTTTTCGAACTGAAGAAAAAACTGGATCAACTTGAAGAAAAAAATTGGAGAATTATCATGTCAATTCGGAAGATTTCTCTTTTGAGTTCAGATCAGAAACGGAAAATTCATCGTTTCAATCACAATATAGTAACCATCATGACTCAGATTTAGCTAATTGTGATGAAGAAATTCGGAAATTTAGGGTTTTGATTAGGCGTACGTGGCGGAGAGGTAGTGGATGAAGATCCGAGCACTCTCGGAGAATGCGAGAAGCGCTTCCTTGTGAATACTGACGTCATAATCCGGCGAGCACTCCGAAAGCTTATCCTTCACTACCCGGCGCACGATAGCCAGCGGCAGCTCGTCCACCACCACTTTCTCCGACTCCATCTCCTCTCTTCCCTCTTTCCTCACTTTCCCGCCTTATGTTGATAAAAAGAAATAGATCGGCCCAGCTGTTATAAGTTGTTCAGCCCATTACTATGAAAAGCCCATCTTCAGTTTGATGGTCATGAAATCTAAGTCTGTCTGTTTATATAAAGAGAGAGAGAGAGAGAGTTCTTGAAAGTTGAAATGCTTTGATTGGTATCTGTTGAACTATGGTTCAAAATCTAACAAAACAAAAGGACAACCACAAGTAGTAGAAAAAAAGCATAGTTTGTTTTGATATCAAAGATTTGATATTCGGGAGCAACCACAAGACATATATCAGTATATATAACAGTACCAAGCTACGTTCTCTTTTACAATAAGCAAGAGTGCATAAAGAAAGGAGAAAAGCTTGTAAAGAGAGTGCAAAAGGAGAAACCCTGAGATTTAGTTCAATGGAGTTTACCAAGCAAGATTTATTGGGGTTGTAGCATATGGAGTGAGTTCTTGAAAATATTTGATTAGTGGCTATTCTCAGATGGATATATAGAGTCAAGAAACTATATATCTTGAGAAATCTAGAAACGAAGAAACCTAAAATAACCGGTAAAACAAAACGTACGAAATGTGATGTTCACAAAACGTAAATTCATAAATTGTGTCTCTTTCACTCGGCTTACATTTTTGTTCTATTCGAATCAGACTAAGATCAGCACATGCATAATCATAACATGAAGAACCACACCAAAACCTTCCTTGAAGGGATTTAAATATCTTGTGTTTTCATTCCTCAAAAATTAACCTCAGTAATAAAGAATCAACATGCATGTAAGTCATATTGGAAAACTCTTAACTAACTAATCCATCGAACTACAAATGCATAATATTCTCAACATGATCCGTGACAGCCCAGATTCTAACATTATCCCTAGGCTCTATTTCGAGTAAGGACGTTGTAGTTTGGACTTTAGCTATTCTACTACTATTCCGTTTTGGATCGTAATAATAAACTTCTGAAGCCAAGGTATTGCTATAAGCCTGAGGGACGAAAACCATTTCACCACCAGGATGAGTGACACCCGCAAATGTGATTGCTTTTGGTAAATCTTGAAGCATGGCCACAAATGTTACCTTTGACCACTCTTGTTTCTCGGCATTCTCCATAACCCACATATCCACATCGTTTTTGTTGAGTTGGTTACAACACATGCATCCCAACTTCTCTTGGTAGTTTACAAGAGTAAAATCTAAACGGTGAACCGGCAGATCTTCTGGAGATTGAATATGATCAAAAACTTCGGACCTAACATCGAAACTCATAAAATGGTAACTCCTACTCTTTGTCCTTGTTTGTAATAGATTGCGCCATTGATGCAAACTGTTTGTTCGAATCGGATGTGAAACTCTAGGCTGCATTGGATATCTCTCCACTGCTTTATGGGATCTCCCAAAGTGAAAACTTGACAAGACTGCTTCTTTAGCCACACCACCTTGTATTGATTTTCGAAAGGGTCGTACCCGAATAAGTAGATGCATGTCGCGGGCAAACACGTAACGGGTAAGCTAACAAATTGCCTCGTGGTAGGGTTGTGTATTCTGAACGGACCATTACCCGAACACTGAAAACCGATCAAGCCACGTACGTATTGAAAGCTTGTCCGAAAGTCATAGCCTTTGCTATTTTCAAAGATATACTCGTTATAGAGTTGTTCTTCGTTTGTGATCTGAGGATAAAGGAAACTATACGAGAGGTTGGTGAACTCAGAGGACGAACGCCTATTTAAGATTAAGTGGAGATCACGCGGTGGTGTAGTCAAACACCGAGTCACGATCGAGTTAATGACTATGAATTTATTGATAATTCTTTCCCACTCAGTCGAGACGCTTCGGAACCTCGCCAGAGACTTCGCCGGAAGTTTCTTGAGTATCTCCACCGTTAGATCGAGTGGGATATTGATATCGCTGGACATTTTTCTGTCCATGATCATGAAGTTTCAGCAACTGCGCGATGTAGAGGAGATTGTGAGGTTTGTGGTGGCTTCTTTTCTTTTTAAACCCTAATTAACATTTTTCTTTCTCAAGGAAGAGGAAAACTCTAGTCAACATATACGCAAGTACTCTCTGTTTTTTTTTTTTTTTTACATATACGTATGTATTAAACTATTAATCAATGTTTTTAAAACGGGACGGATGATCGAACCCGAAATGTTTTTTGGAAAACTCTTTAACATGATCAGAACATAATCCTAACATGAAGAACAGAAGAAGACACCCACACGACATCAAAAAAACAAAAAAAAAATAATAATATGAAGACCCACACCAAAACCTTCCTTGAAGGAATTTAAATATCTTGTGTTTCATTCATCAAAAATTAACCTCAGTAATAAAGAATCAGCATGCTGCATGCATGTAAGTCATATTGGAAAACTCTTAACCAAATGCATCGAACTACAAACGCATAATATTCTCAACATGATCCGTGACAGCCCTGATTCTAACGTATACACTAGGGTTTCTTGTGAATAAGGACGTTGTAGTTTGGATTTCAGCTCTTCTACGACTATTCCGTTTTGGATCATAATAATAAACAACTGAAGCCAACCCACTATAATAAGTCTTATGGACTAAAACGATTTCACCACCAGGATGAGTGACACCCGCAAAATCGACACGACTAGGTAAATCTTGAAGCATGGCCACAAATGTAATCTTAGTCCACTCTTGTTTCTCGGCATTCTCCATAACCAACATATCCACATCGTTTTTGTTGAGGTCGCTACAACACATGCATCCCAACTTCTCTTGGTAGTTTA